ACTGCTCTGTTGCGCAGTCCCACCGGCCTTATAATTTCAAAAGCGCTAGGGATTTGGGTGTACAAAACTAACTGGGCCCAAATATTTTCTCACGATTGCATCCCACATTTTTTACCAAACGAAGCTAGGACTCATAATAAAAAGATGTTGGTTTCGATTGTGAAAAGTAGTATAGCTGGTCGAATGAACTTGAAAAAACGAAAGAAGAAAAAGCTGGTTTGGTTTCGGAATAGAACAATGTTCAAAATTACTGAATTGGTGAGTTAGACATCAAAACATTTTCCGCTATGTCTCAATAATAATTTGTTAACTCACCAAGAACCATAAAAGCTTTTCTGCTTAGATCTTGTGATTTTACGATAAACAACCAACCCGATCCTAAAGTCTACATATTGACAATAGATAGGTAGCACTACATCTCGTTGTTGACATAGTTTCTTAATCCGAGATATCTCAAATCTTCATTTCCTTGATTTGATAATATCTTAGATTGTACGAAATGGAAACTCCAATTCCAAGATAGATGGTTCCCGCGTACATCTCCTCCTCTGTGTCCCACAGGCTCGTCTTGTTGATCCAACAAGCTCATACTTTCAAAAAATTTATCATGTGAAAGTTAATAAAGACTTGAAATACACATATCCGAGCAAGAAAGGAATGAATTTGTGGTGGTGGCTGTATAGCCTTTCTCAGCTCTGGTTTGATCCGTGATAATTTCTTTGTATTTATACAGCATATTCAACTAACTGGTTAGGTTTCTCACACTGATATAGTACTATAGACTTATAATAATTACAGTTTTTATTTACTAAAGGTGTTCTATGAAACTTTTTATTAATAAACATCTAATATTTATTTCCAATTAGAATCGATTTTACTTATATAAACCTTTCACTAATCTAAATATATATAATCATTTTCTACATATATTATACATGACATACAAGAAAGTTGGCGGAGATAAATAATGCAACCGCAGGAACCAATTGGAAAAATATAATAACGATGATGCAACTTATTTAAATTTGAAAAAAAAAAATTTTATTTAAATTTGACTTGGTACACGGAAGACTAGAGAGGAGACTACTACTATGAACTGTCCGAACACACGCAAACTATATCGTCTTTACCTTTAAGTCTTTTCTGTAATGTACGTACTCGAAATCATAAGTATTGGGCTATATGGGCTTTGGCTTTCTCTATGTTTGATGTCGGTTTGTCTTAGAATTAGGTCGAGTCATATACTTGTTCTCATGGCCATATATAAGGCAAACGTTTGTAACTTCAAACCTAAGCAATAAGATTTACACCACTAAAAGCTATTTTGACATGGTATCAGAGCATTAACCTAACTACTAAGAGGTTATTGCTCGATCTTGTGATCTAAAAATTCCGCAAATTACTACTTTGTCTTCTTATTCTCTTTCAAACTTCGATTACTTGACCTAATTTTCAACGATTCTGTTTTCGTTGGGAAGCTTCTTAAAACGATGGCTACTGCATCCTCTTCTTCGTCATCTACCTCTTCAGCCTTGACAGAAGTGGTGGCGCAGCCTCGTATCAAGACACGGCGAACAATATCACCGTACGACTTGACTTCCAGTGATAATCCGGGTACTTTGATCTCTAAACCACTGCTGCGAGGTCCTAATTATGATCAATGGGCAAACAATATGTGTTTAGCTCTTAAAGCAAGGAAGAAATTTGGGTTCGTCGATGGCACAATTCCACAGCCGACTGAAGATGATCCTGACTTTGAAGATTGGACTGCAAACAATGCTCTTGTGATCTCTTGGATTCGACTTACCATTGATGAAACTCTTTCCGAGTCATTGTCTCATATCAACGACTCTAATGAGCTGTGGGTGCATATCCAGAAATGATTTGGTGTGAAGAACGGACAACGCGTTCAACGTCTCAAAACAGAGCTAGCAAATTGTCGACAAAAAGGGCTTGCAATTGAGGCATACTATGGCAAACTTACACAATTATGGGGAAGCTTGGCTGACTACCAACGAGCCAAGACTATGGAAGAAGTTAGAAAAGAACGTGAGGAAGATAAACTACATCAATTCCTCATGGGTCTTGATGAGACTTTGTACGGTGCTGTTAAATCAAATTTGCTCTCTCGGGTTCCTCTTCCTAGCCTCGAAGAAGCATACAATGTTTTAACTCTCGACGAAGAAGCAAAGAATCTGAGCAGAGATAACGATGGGCGAGTCGATGGAGTCAGTTTTGCTGTTCAAACAAATCCTCCTCGCAAGCCGTATGACAACAGAGCCGTGTGTAGTATCTGTGGGCGTACTGGTCATATTGCCGATAACTGCTTTCGCAAAATCGGTTATCCTGAATGGTGGGGAGAGAACACTAAATCCAGTTCCAATTACCGAGGTAAAACGGGAAACAATGCGGGCAAAGGAGGAGCTGGTCGTGGTACAACAACAACATCCGTGGGCTCCATGACAGGAAAGAATTTCAACTCAGCTCACGTGAATAACGTTTCAACACATTTCGGTCTCACAACAAGTTCTTCACAGAATTCTCCTTTAACGCCAGCTGACCGTGTTGGAATTAGCGGCTTGAGTAATGATCAATGGAACACTTTGGTGAACATTCTTGAAGAAAGAAAATCTCGCTCCAATGATCTTAAATCGGGTATGTTCTTTATTGAATCTTGGATAATTGATACAGGGGCTTCTAACCAGATGACAGGGACTCTAAATTTTTTGATGGATATTCGGGAAATGGCACCTATTCTTATTAAGCTGCCCGATGGAAGACTCACTACATCCACCAAAATGGGTCGTGTGTCACTTGGTTCATCTTTGTGTCTTCAAGACGTGTTTTTTGTCGATGGATTGAAGTGTCATCTTATATCAGTTTCGCAGTTGACTAGAGAGCGGAGTTGTGTGTTTCAGATTACTGATAGGCTTTGTATTGTTCAAGATCGCATCACCAAGATCCTGATTGGCGCGGGTGAGCAACAGAATGGACTTTATTTTTTTAGAGGAGTGGAAGTAGCAGCAGCTGCAAATCATGTGGATTCATCATCTCTTGAAGTTTGGCATTCTCGCTTGGGACATCCCTCTTCTAAGGCTTTGAATATGTTGAAGTTTTTGGATTTTAGTACTAAATTTGATTCAAAGGCGTGTGACGTTTGTATTCGTGCAAAACAAACACGAGAATCTTTTCCTTTAAGTTATAATAAGACGAATGTTGCTTTTGAATTGATTCATTGCGATCTTTGGGGACCATACCGCACTACATCTATCTGTAGCTCTCGTTACTTTCTCACCATACTCGATGATTATTCAAGAGCAGTTTGTATATACTTGTTACCATCAAAGCAAGAAGCTCCCACACATCTCAAAAATTTCTTAGCTCTTGTTGAACGTCAATTTTCAGCTCAAGTTAAGACTATACGCAGTGATAATGGATCCGAATTCATATGTTTGAGAGACTTCTTTGCTCAAAAAGGGATTATTCATGAGACTTCGTGTGTTGGCACTCCGCAGCAAAACGGTCGTGTTGAAAGAAAACATCGTCATATTCTCAATGTTGCTAGAGCTTTGCTTTTTCATGCAAATTTACCCGTTGAATTTTGGAGCTATTGTGCGTTAACGGCTGGATATCTCATAAATCGAACTCCTACACAGATTCTCGATGGGAAAACTCCGTTTGAACTCATATATAATCGACCTCCGCCAATGAATCACATGCGAGTATTTGGTTGCTTATGCTATGTTCATAACCAAAAACACCGAGGCGATAAATTTGCAACAAGAAGCTCCAAATCAATTTTTATTGGATATCCATTCGGTAAAAAGGGATGGCGTGTCTACGATCTTGAAACCGGTAAAGTATCAGTGTCTCGTGACGTAATCTTTCGGGAATCAGAGTTTCCACTTACTGTTGCTGCACCTTCTTCACCTCCCCTGCAATTTCTGTCGTCACAATCTCCAAGTTTTAACGACATAGACTTTATGGCTATCTTGACAATAAGTATCAAGATGTCGTGGTCTATTGTCTTACACATAATTTTATTTGTTAGATAAATTTAAAAATACTGAAATTTAACTTGAATTTCTAAAATTTTGGTAACTAACTAACAAAATATAAATATATTCTAAAAATGATATTAAAAATGTAAGTAAACCAAGTTTTATAACAATTTCTTTTATGACATTTGCAGCGTGTATGTGTAAATCACTAAATTGTAAAGACAAAAGTAAATGGTTAATTTATCATCGTTATGTGGCCTAATCGAGGATGGTAGGTACTTCACTTAAAGACAATCTGCGTAATTCTACTTTCTTCTTTTGAGTTATTCACGAATAACGAAGATAATAACAAAAGCGTCCTTTTATCTAGAGATAGTGCCAGCCTTGGGCCGAAGCCAAAAATATTGGAACTTTTCTATGGAATATTCAACTTTCATATGGTTCACTAATTTTTAGATATATGGCAGTACGTTCGAGTCTTGGTCTTTTGTATCTCTCTTACTATTATTATTAACGTATCGTATCATTTTGAACGTCTCTCTATTTGTTTTTCCCATATTGTTTCTTAGTGTCACTTTCTTTTTCTTTTGAAACTTTTTAATTTACATTTGTGTAAAAAGCTAGAATTTGTTTTAATTACTTTCTTTTTTTGTTTGTTAAATTTGTTTACTTTCCTAATAAGTAATTATAACTTTCCCATTTGAGTTCTTTTATGTTTTGTTAATATATAATTCAGAAAAAAATGTTTTGTTATATAAAGTTTTATTTTCCTTTATTGACCGAGTATACTCACCGGCGTATAATAATGGAAAGAAATCCACTTGACCGAGTAAACTGAAACATGGTGTGTAGTGCGAAGACCACTAAAACCCAAAACCCAAAAGTGACAAACTAAGTCGTCCATAGTTTCAGCTCTCTCTTTCTTACCTCAACCATATCTTCTTCTGTTTTTTGTTTTTGGTGTGGCTTAAATCTCTACCATATGTTTCAACTCTCTCTTATCTCTCTATTCTATATAAACACATAAACGTGAGTCACAGTGATTACGCAGAGATAGTTGATTGGGTCAGCTACAGTTATTATATCAGATTCAGTCCCATGCAAAGAGTAAATTAGGTCACATTTGTGATTAGTCATATATAAGTAACAGAAAGAATTATTAAAATGGTATCTTCGACATTTACTTCCATGCTATTCCTTCTCCTCCTCCTGTTTTCGTTTCATATGGGTGAAGCTCTTGGTGCTCAAACTGAAATCCGCAAAATCAGTGAGACAATTTTTTTTATTTTTTTTTTAATTCTTTCAAGTACCAATATTCATATTTTATATTTATTCTATTAGTTGAGTCTTTCTACATATATATTATTTTTAATTATAAAAATCATATTCATTCTAATCATATCTTTACCAAATAAATAAAGAAAATGTCTTTATTATGGTATATAACCGTATAAGTATCTACGTTATTATTGAATTCCGATTTAGTGAAATATTAGGATGAGGAGGAATTTGGAAGGTAAAAATCATATTCATTCTAATTCTAGTCATTCTGTTAATTACTATTTCTCTTTCATTCATTCTAATTAATTGTTACCAAACGCGTGACTAGTCTTAAATTGAAGTCTGAATTGTATGGGTGATGCAGAAGAGACAATTAGGATGAGGAGGAATTTGGAAGGCAATGACTACAAAAACTCTAAAATGTGGATGAGACGGAGCTATTCACCACAGTGCCAACAATATGAAAGGTTTAAAAACATGGTGACCACTAATGGTGATGATGACCATGGTTTGGACGACCCATGTTTCCCCTTCACCTGTTTTAATGGCTGGGGTCCCGGCAGTCAAAGTTGCACCTACACCAAATACTGCCACGCAGTTTATGGCGCACCCCCGAGGTGCAGCATCAGCGAGAACTGTTCCTCAGATTAATAGATTTATCATCTATCGGGTGCAAAATTAATACAAATAATACTCCAATGCTGTTTCAAATGTGTTTCGTATTCTACTTTTATTGCCTTTCTCTATTCTCATCTTCTTGATCAAATTGTAATCTCCAAATGATATGTGTATGGAACAGTTGTATAACCTTTGTGAGTTGGAACAATATGTACAATGTTAGCTAGCTATAACACTTTCTATCTATGGACCAAACATGGCCAATTCTCGATCGATAAAACAATATATATTTTCTAGTATTGTTTTCTCGATATGAATATATGTATAATGTATTGATACATGGAAGTTTATATAACTTTGGCGTGACATATGTTGCATTATTGGAATGCTTAACTATTTACTTTAAGATAAAGAGAAGCTCGATGCATCTGTTTGGCTAAAGCTAATGAAACTATTCCACGTACAAAAAACAACAAATGAATCCCTTTCGAGGCTAGGGGTTCGAGGAAGACATATGATAAACAATGCTAAGTCCCCACGTGACCGATCGAGTAAACTAAAACATGGCGACAGGAGTCCGGAGACCACTAAAAACTAAAAGACCAAAAGACATTGCCATGCTTGAGCATGAAGCCAAAAATATTGGGATTTTCTATGAAATTTCGCACGTTCATATGGTTCACTCTTTTTTATAGATGGCTGTGTTCAGGTCTTGGTCCTTTGTCTCTATCTTACAATTATTAATATATCTTATCATTTTGAACGTCTGACTATTCTTTTCTCACATTGTGTGTCACTTTTTTTTTCCTTCTGAAATATATTTTAATTTGTAAAAGCTATAACCTTTTTTATTCCCCAATACGTTTCCATTTTCATCAATTATTTTGTTCTATAAAAAGTTTATCAATACTTCATAGATTACTTTCAAAACTATTATTTTTATAACAACAAAAATTGATTAAAACATCTGTAAGATCGCATTGATATTTAATTTTGTACCAAAATAATTTAATCAATCGGTTTAAAATTAACATCATTAGATATGTTATATATACGTTGAAACTCATATAAAATGAAAAATACTACGTATACATTTATACATTTTTTAAACCTTGTAGAAATCCCTCTCCTTAAAGACTGATCTCTTTATTGAAATAAAAAGAAACACCAATCTAATTGTGATTTTTTTTTTTTTTGTACAATAGCTCTCAAGTCAAGTGTCAACTCCTTTATTTTGTTGTTTAAAAAATAAAACCATTCCATGGAAAAAGGATTGTACACATGTACTAAAGCTACCCTGCGTAAATATGGAATGAAATCCACTTGATCGGAGTGTACGGAAACACGGTCTGCGGAGACCATAACCCAAAACCCACAAGTGACAAACTAAGTCCTCATCTCGACCACGCCTCTCTATTCTATATAAATGCATAAACGTGAGTCGGATTCAGACACATATTCAAAGTAGTTAGGTCAAATTTGTGATAAGTGATCATTAAGTAACAGAGTGAATTATTAAGATGGCATCTTCGACATTCTATTCCATGCTATTTCTTCTTGTCCTCTGTTGTATAAGCTTGAAGTTGTGAAGATAACTTGAGATGGAAGTCTCTAGTTTTAAAAGAGAGTTTAGATATTTTGAGATAAAGATTAGATTGTATTAGGAGTTATCTAATATATCTAATATGTCGGTTAAAGTTCTATTAGGGTTTTGAGTTTATGTTTTCATATAAATAGATGTCGAGTTATGGCATTAGGTGATATGAGAGCTTTGTGTGTTTAGGGTTATGAATGTATGGTTTTGAGTCAGTTTCCATACTAATAAAAGAGAGAGTCTTTTACATCTTCATAGCCTTTGTTTGTTTTGCTCTTTAAAGTTTTGATACAAGAATTGGTATCAGAGCTTGAGATCACGATCACGAGAAAACAGAGTTGATAACAGAGAACGATCACGAGAAGGTGATCCATAAGGAAACATGTGAGACTTGATTCCCGCGACTACCAAAGAAGGAGGAGGTTCCTCTTCTATTAAGTGTCCGATGTTAAATCCTATAAACTATACGTTTTGGACTATACGTATGACTATGGCACTCAAAGTTCATAAAGTTTGGGAGGCTATAGAACCGGGATCAGAGGATGTTGACAAGAACAACATGGCGAGTGCTCTTCTTCTGCAGTCTATCCCTGAGGCGTTAACACTGCAAGTCGGGAAACTAAACACTGCCAAGAAGATATGGGATGCCATTGAATCTAGAAATCTAGGAGCTGATAGGGTTAAAGATGCAAGATTACAAACCCTAATGGGTGAGTTTGAGAGAATAAAGATGAAAGAAAGTGAGAAGATTGATGATTTTGCTGGTAGAATCTCAGAATTATCTACAAAATCAGCATCTCTTGGACATGACATCGAAGAACCAAAACTTGTAAAGAAGTTTCTAAACGGATTACCTAGGAAAAGGTACATACATATAATAGCCGCACTTGAACAAGTTCTTGATTTAAACAACACTACGTTTGAAGATATAGTTGGAAGGCTAAAAGCTTATGAGGAAAGAATCTGCGATGAAGAAGATAATCAAGAAGATCAAGGAAAACTAATGTATGTTAATTCTGAGACACAACCATGGTACACAAACAGAGGAAGAGGACAAGGTGGTAGACGAGGAAGAGGAAGAGGACGGTTTGGTTATTCCCAAAACAATGGTTACCAACAAAACAGAGATACAAGCAAAATAACATGTTACAGGTGTGATAAGCTAGGACACTTTGCATCAGACTGCCCTGATAGGCTTCTTAAACTTCAGGAAACACAAGAAACAAATGCTACAAAGAACAATGATACACAGGAAGCTGATGCTTTGATGATGCATGAGGTCGTATACCTGAATGAAAAGAATTGTGTACCAAACAAATTTGAAACTAATACAGACAAGGAGAATATTTGGTATTTGGATAATGGTGCTAGCAATCACATGACAGGGATTTTAGCTTACTTCTCTAAAATTGATGAGTCAATTACGGGTAAAGTCAGATTTGGTGATGATTCTCGAATAGATATCAAAGGAAAGGGATCAATCACATTCATTGCAAAGAATGGAGAAAGAAGAATTCTACATGATGTCTACTACATCCCAGACTTAAGAAGTAACATTGTGAGTTTAGGTCAAGCCACTGAGTCAGGCTGTGATGTCAGAATGAAAGGCGATAATCTTACTCTTTATGACAAAGATGGCAAGCTTTTGGTTAAAGCACTAAGGTCTAGAAATCAACTCTACAAGGTAAGTTTAGAAGTTGAAAACAATAAGTGCCTACAAATTGGGATATCAAAATGCAAGTGGCATGCCAGGCTAGGACATATTGGAACAGAGACCTTAAAGACAATGGTGGAGAAAGAACTTGTCTTTGGGATCCCACAAATCAAAGTAGAGAAAGAAATATGTTCCTCTTGTCTACTTGGAAAGCAAACAAGAAAATCTTTTCCCAAAGCAACTTCTTTCAGAGCAGAAAGTGTTTTGGATCTCATTCATGGGGATCTCTGTGGACCCATCACACCTCCTACACCATCAAAGAATCGATACATCTTTGTTTTAATTGATGATTACTCACGATACATGTGGACACTTCTACTGAGAGAAAAAGGTGAAGCCTTCAGAAAATTCAAAAGTTTTAAAGCATCTGTTGAACAAGAAACCAAGACCACTATCAAGACATTTCGAACTGATAGAGGTGGTGAATTTCTTTCGGCTGAATTTCAAGCATTTTGTAATGACTCTGGTATACAAAGACACCTAACTGCACCATATTCTCCCCAACAAAACGGAGTCGTCGAGAGGAGAAACAGAACATTAATGGGAATGACCAGAAGCATTTTAAAACACATGAATGTCCCAAATTACTTGTGGGGGGAAGCAGTCAGACATGCAACATACATCATAAACAGAGTATCAACAAGAACACTGATACACCAGACTCCCTACGAAGCATTCAAAGGAAAAAAACCAAATATAGAACATATACGAGTCTTTGGCTGTATAGGCTATGCAAAAACAGAACCGGCTCATCTGAAGAAGCTTGATGATCGATCAAGAATGCTAGTGCATTTAGGAACTGAGCCAGGATCAAAAGCGTATCGATTGTTTGATCCAACAAAGCAAAAGATAATAGTAAGCAGAGATGTTATATTCGATGAGGAAACAAGCTGGAAGTGGAATAATGTTGAGAAGGATACAAACTTTGAGATAAGCTTTGGAGAATTTGGGAACAATGGCATAAGAGAAAATACTACTGAAACAGAAACAGAGAATGATGAAGTTGATAAGAATAATGAACCAGAAGAAGAACATGTCTCAACTATTGGAAACTCTGAAGATGATGAAGCAAGAGAACAACAACAACCAGGACCAACACTCAGAAGGTCAGGAAGAGAAACAAAGAAACCAGGCTATCTAGAAGACTATGTCTTATTAGCAGAATATGAAAGTGAAAGACTGCTACTGGTTATTAATGAAGAGCCATGGGATTACAGTGAAGCAAAAGAATCTAAAGAATGGATAGATGCATGTGTAGAAGAGATCACCTCTATAGAAAAAAAACAGAACATGGGATCTAGTAGATCTTCCTATAGATGCAAAGCCAATAGGCCTAAAATGGGTTTTCAAGATCAAGAGAAACGCTGATGGAAGCATAAATAAGTATAAAGCAAGACTAGTAGCTAAGGGATATGTGCAGAGACATGGCATTGACTTTGATGAAGTCTTCGCACCTGTAGCACGTCTTGAAACCATACGTTTCATTGTTGCTCTAGCTGCTTCCTATGGCTGGGAAGTACATCATCTTGATGTGAAAACGGCATTTCTTCATGGAGAATTGAAAGAGGTAGTCTACGTCACACAACCAGAAGGTTTTGTAGTAGAAGGAAGTCAGAACAAGGTGTACAAATTGAACAAAGCACTATATGGCCTTAAACAAGCTCCTAGAGCCTGGAACACAAAACTGAATACAATTCTCATAGAATTGGGTTTTGTTAAATGTTCAAAAGAGCCATCCATTTATCAGAAAAGGGAACAAGAAGAGCTCCTTGTTATAGCAGTCTATGTTGATGACTTACTTGTCACAGGATCCAACTTAGAGATGATACTAGAGTTCAAGAAGGGAATGGCAGGAAAGTTTGAAATGAGTGATCTAGGAAAGCTCACCTATTATCTTGGAATTGAAGTTACTCAAACTGAGAATGGTATTCTATTGAATCAAGAAAGGTATGCAAAGAAAATTCTTGAAGAAACTGGTTTTGGAGAATGTAATGCAGTACAGGTACCAATGTGTGCAAATCTGAAGTTAAGTAAAGCTCCAGAAGAAAAGAGAATTGATGAGAAAGAATATAGAAGAAGTATTGGATGTCTTAGATATCTACTCCATACAAGACCAGACCTATCTTATTGCGTTGGAGTTTTAAGCAGGTACATGCACGAGCCAAAAGAGTCTCATGGAGCCGCTCTGAAACAAGTTCTCAGATACTTACAGGGAACTCAATCTTATGGACTTTGCTTTAACAGAGGAAACAAGATAGAACTAATAGGATTTAGTGACAGCAGTCATAATGTAGATGAAGATGATGGCAGAAGCACTACTGGTCACATTTTCTATCTTAATGACTGTCCCATTACATGGTGTTCACAAAAACAAGAAACTGTTGCACTTTCATCATGTGAAGCTGAATTTATGGCTGCTACTGAAGCTGCTAAACAGGCTATTTGGCTCCAAGAACTCTTACAAGAAGTTACAGAGAAATATAGTGAAAAGGTTTTGATTCTTATTGACAATAAGTCAGCAATAGCTCTAACTAGGAACCCAGTGTTTCATGGCCGTAGCAAACACATCCACAAAAGGTATCATTTCATTCGGGAGTGCATTCAAAATGATTTGGTTGAAGTAGAGCATGTTCCCGGAGAAATTCAGAAAGCAGACATACTTACGAAAGCCCTCGGAAGAATCAGATTTAAAGAGATGAGAGATCTCATAGGAGTTCAAGATGTGAAGAAAATAAACTTCAAGCTTAAGGGGGAGATTGTTGTATAAGCTTGAAGTTGTGAAGATAACTTGAGATGGAAGTCTCTAGTTTTAAAAGAGAGTTTAGATATTTTGAGATAAAGATTAGATTGTATTAGGAGTTATCTAATATATCTAATATGTCGGTTAAAGTTCTATTAGGGTTTTGAGTTTATGTTTTCATATAAATAGATGTTGTTTTCGCTTCATGTGGATGAAGCTCTTGGTGCTCAAACTAAAATCAGCAAACTCAGTAAGATTTTTTTCTTAAATATCTTTTACATATCAATATTCATGTTGAATTACTAGTAAAAGATATGTTGGTAATATATTTGCCCCAAAAAAAAAAAAAAAGATATGTTTGTAATATTAAGTGATTTGACCCAATTACATGTTTTCACATAGTTTTTTTAGTCTGTTTATTCTATTATTTGAGAACATCATATATTTCTTCGTCTCTTTTTCATATTCATTTTATTAGTCATTTATTACAAGAATAATAAAGAAAAATTATCTTTTTTTTAAAAAAAATTATCTTTAGAGAGTATAATAAATATCAACCGTTTTAAAATAAATTCGGATTTGGTGAAAAATGCTATAATGTTACTTACGTCATTAATTAGTTTAATATATACATATATACATTAGTTATATATCTTCAAAACTACCTGCTTGACTTATAAATTGAAGTCTGAATTGTATGGGTACGTGATGCAGAAGAGATGATCACGATGCGGAGGAATTTGGAAGGAAATATTGACTACAAAAGCTCTAATATGCGGACTGGAGGGAGTGTATCGAATCAATGCCACAGCAAAAGTTATATCGAGATCGTCACCACTTATCTTCCTGATGATTCGTCCTCCCCCTGTATACAGTGTAACCACGACTCTTGTTATAGTTGCACCAAGACGAGAAAGTGCAGATGGTCCACTGGCTCACCCCGGAGGTGCACAGTCAACGAGGTGTGTTGCCTTATAGTGTATTCATAGCTATAGATTTATCGGAGGCAAAATCAATATATATATATATATATATATATATATATATATATATATATATATATGATAATCTTTTCAACATTTCTATATATCTTATATTTGTGAGTTGGAGTAATATGTATACTATTGCTTTTATCAAAAAAAAAAAAAAAACAATATGTATAACGTTATAACACTTTTTATCGATGACAATGTCCAATCTTATTTTGTAAGTAACAAGGTGAGTCGTACGTCTAGCTATATATTGGCTTGATCTTCAGATCTTAGAGACCAAATCAATGCACAAGACTTATTAGAACTTTATCATAAGATATCACAAAGAGCTTAAGAAACGTACCTTTGAAGAAAATCTATGACCCAGTTGTTTCTGTTATCAAAGAAATGAGGAATGTGATGCAAAAGTAAAGGCTATTTTTAGGCAGAGCAGTTATATAAAAATCTCTTTCATGAAGTTTTTCACTATAGTCCTGTTACCCAGAAAATGAAGTTTTGTGGCCCCATATTTGGATTCTACCACTTTTGCACCAAATTTTAATTCCATAATTTTTGTATCAAAATCTAATTTTGCAGTTTGGCAGAAAATCTCGATTGTTAGTTTCAACTTTTAAACTACTATTTTTCAATTGAAACAATTTGTATTTGGCAGAAAATTCCCCCTCTCTCTCTCTCGAAAGACTAATCTCTTTTTTTTTTTTTAAATCATATAAAGACCTATCTCTTTATTGGAATAAAAGAAACACGAATATGCATGTTTATAAGTTATAACTATACGTTTATTCTAAAGTCAATGTCAACTCCTTCATTTTGTGTTTCTGTTTTTGGTTGTTCAATTTTTTCTTTTTAATTAAAAAACCATGGAAAAAGGAATGTCTGCAAAGCTGCCCCGGGAAAATAATGCAATGAATTAAAACCACTTGACAGATTATAATAAAACACTAGAATTTAATCCGCGGTACACCGCGGGATGATTTAATTTTAAAGTTAGTATAAAAATATTTTGTAAATTGTATCTCCTTATAACATATTTATTTATATTATAGTTTACAATTGTTATTAAGTAACGGTATACCACGAGTCCACGAGATAATTATTAATAAACTGAGGATTTAACCCGTATTAAAGCGGTATATAAATATTGATTCAAATTCGTCCGCCATATAAATCATTTCCGAAATATAACCCGTTCCGTAATTTCTTAACCCGTCCTATGATTTGTATTAAAAAAAAAAAGGATTAAATCCGTATTGAAGCGGCGGATTAATGATATTTTAATCTTTTTATTATTGTTGATTCAAAAACCCGTCCCTCCAAACCCATCCCGCAAAAAAACTCATTTATTTTATTAATGTTCTTATTTATGATATGATTCTGAATCATTGTCTAAATATTTTAATCGATGTAGAACGTTGAACACACATTTTCGTCAATTGGATAATATATGTCCGTTTTTAAAATTTCGAATCATAGTATATGCAGAAAAAAAATTGATTTTTTTTTTTTACTTTATGTATTATATGATGATTCAAAACAGTTAAAAACAAATCAAACAAAGATGATAGGAGAATCATAATTATAAATCTTAATCAAATCTTCTAAAAATCTAAATTATTAAATATGGAATATCCGGTGTATGAGTTGGGTTAAATATAACCCGACCCAACAAATTTTTTGTGAATGATTTTTTAAAATGGGTCGAATATCCGATATACCCGAAAGCTTTTTTATCCACCCGTCACAAAAAGTGCTGCGATTATACTAGTATAGATGGTGTGCAGTGCAGAGACCACTAAATCCCAAGATCCACAAGTGACAAACTAAGTCATTTCTCTCTTTCTTATCTCTACCATAAGTTTAAACTCTCTCTTATCTCTAACTCTATATTCCATATAAATGCAATAAACGTGAGTAGCAGACTAACAGTCATTAAGTTTGATTAGCTCAGATTCAGCTCATGTAACGTCCTAAATTAGGTCAGATTCAGTGATCAGTGATAAGTACTCCAAGAGAGAATTATTAAGATGTTGTTGTTGTCGTCTACAGTTTCTTTCATGCTATTTTTTCTTCTCCTTGTGTTATCGATTCATATGAATGAAGCTCTTGGTGCTCAAATTGAAATCCGCAAACTCGGTGAGTTTTTTTTTCAAAAATCTTTTACTTATCCATGTATTCATATGTTTAATTACGAGTAAGAGATATGTTGATATTATGTTAGACAAAAAAAGAAGAAGAAAGATAGGTTGATATTATGTTAGACAAAAAAAGAAGAAGAAAGATATGTTGATATTATGTTAGACAAAAAAAAAAGAAGAAAGATATGTTGATAATATTAATAGATTTGATCCAATTACATGTTTCACATAGTTTTATTTTACATATATCATTTATGAAAATCATATCTTTCTACATCTATTTTAAAAACAACAAATCATATTAATTTTACTAGCAATTTATGTACCAGATTCATAGAGAACATTATTTATTAAGAATATAAAAGTATCTTTGTTATTTTAAAAATAGGATCTGGTGAAGTATATATGCTTTGTTACTATTTAGCTTTCGTAATTAGTTCAGCATATATAGATAAACTAAAGAGTTACATATCATTGAAATTTCCAATGGCTTGAGGCTATAAATTACAGCGTTCAAGTAATGCAGAAGAGACGATGGTGATGAGGTGGAACTTGGAAGGCAATGGCTTCGTAACTTCCAAAATAGATGCTCCACCAAGCGCATCGAGACATTGCGGGGGAGGTAAACGTTTTGAGAACATGGCGACCATTGATCGTCATGATGATCAGTTCAGTCCACTTCCAGGAGGCGACTCGTCCTCCCTCTGTATAAGGTGCGTTACCACCCAACGTTGTGTAGGGGCCGTAGGCGCCCCACCCTCGACGTACACGTGCACTATCATCTCGAAACAGTGTGAAAATATACCTGGCCATTGATCAGGTCATAACTTTGAATACACATCTATCTATATATATGAATGTATGTACTAAAGTCGTAGTTGGTTTGCTTTTTCTATCTTTCTTCGTTTCATATGATTGGGGGTTGCAATATATTTTTTATAGATTTATCCAATGTAAAATTAATACATGTATATGATAAATACTATGTATCTGTTGAACATAGTGAGTAGGAAGTAGGAACAATGATTATAATATACTGTAACAGTTTTATCCACGGACATATACATTGCCAGATTCTCTGTGGTTTAAAGGCTAATGTTAAGCACAGTTCAAACTGTATAAGAAGGAATCCAGAGAAAGAAATGGCACTTTTCCAGATGCCACAGGACCATAATTGAAATTTAGCAATGATCTGGCGACAAAGACTTGCATAGTAATGGCGACGCTGGCCTTGTGGGAATTACATAAGTGGTATGTTTTGGTAATTTGTTTTCGTAATTACAAACCAGAAAACATGCACGCACGAGATTAGCAGAATTTTTTTATATATTGTGGGAGCTAAATGAAACTCTTGAGGGTGCTTACGCAAATGGTATTGAGAGATTGCGTACGGAACGAGATTACTCACTACAATATATGTGAAGTCGGTATGGCAATGACAGTAGTTGTTTAAAACTGGTCTCATAAATTTTGAAATCTCAGAGACTCAGACTATGTGCAACAGAGAAAGTGAGAAACTATAACGCATTGAGGAATATCCAGATGTATAGTTTGAACTTTTAAAGTATGGAAGAACGTAAGAAACAACATTACACAAAATGTAAATAATTCGGAATGTACGTAGAATCAGGCGTCAAAGAGAAATATATGAAAATGAGTAAAAAAAAATAGCGAAATAAGAAGCAAGATTTTTATTTAATAATCCATTGTGAGATCTGACTTATAAGCCTGCTCAGTTACAAATTATTCATAAATTCAAATCGGAATTAAGAGGTAAACATTAGTTACCTCCTACATATATCTTAGAGCAGAAGCGATGGCAATGCCAGTCTGAACTAGCATTACGATGGCAATCCCCACATCTTCACGATACTTATGAAATCAGCTTCAACTAAAAATTATGACAAATTAGCTTTCGTATTTTTGATGAAGGTGAAATGGTAGCATGGGTAATCAATTTATAGTTGAACAACCATGCATAAATGAAATCAGACTGTTGAAATTCTTTCTCTTCTCGTAAGTCGGAAAGTAGTAATGGGCAGTCAAATTTAAAGATTAAATGATTTGGAATTTGGAACGTTTTGTCATATTTGTGCGTAGAACCAATCTGGGCTTTAAACTCATGGAGTATTATTGTATATGAACTTATTGTTGTGGCCCAATCATTCATGTGTAGTGAACAGACAATTTTTAGTTAATTACTCTTAAAAAATTTAATTATGAACGTGGACGAGTACTCTTACTTGCCGAGTAAATTTGATCCGTATCAATACAAGAAGAAGACGTTACTAAATAAACTGATTGAAAATTATATTGAGGGAACATAATTTGTCGGTGTTGGACCCTTCCATGACAGAACTTTTGGTTTCTCATGAGTCATGACTCCAACTACGGTTCTAGAACTTTTGGCCTCTCATGACTCCAATTGGACAAGTTCTAGTTCTTAACGACTCATGGCTCTTCACTTGCTCCGGAAGTTTAGTTTGAGTTCTGGTTCGGGATCACCATGTTAAGAACACTTATTCTGAAAATATGATTGTATAACAATAATCTCAAAGTTCTATAAGATATTTCACAAAAACATGTAAAACGTCATATCATTTTGTGGGTTTATATTCAGGTTTGGAGAGTCTCTATATAGTAATTAATTAATACCCGGTCCAAAATAATCATTTTAATTTAGAAATTTTTAGTATATATGTCACTGGAACTTAGAGAAAAAATCTGGCGACAAAGACTATAGGAAGATGACATAAGTTGTTTGTTTTGATAATTAATTTTCGTAATTACAAACCAGATAGCATACTAGATTTGCTAAATGAAGCTTTTAAGATGCTTAAGCAAATGGAATTGAGAGATTGAGTACGAAATGTGATTGCTCACTACAATTTGTAGTGGTCAGTATACACATACAATGGCCAATGAGATTAAGAACAATTGTTGAAACTGGTCCCATGATTTTTACAATTTCATTATTATGTGTAAACAGAGCGTAAGATCTAAACACTTAACATTACACAAAACGTACGTAATTTGGAATGTAGCATCAGACGTCAATCACAAAGAGTAATATATGAAAATGAGTAAATACTAAATAGATAGGAAATAAGAATTCAGCAAGGTTTATTTAGTAGACAAATCGATTACAATTCTAGCATATAATAACTCATAAATCCATATAGGAATTAAGAGGTAAACATTATTAACCTCCTAAATATCCTAAAGCAGTAGCCATAGCAATGGCAGCCTGAGCCATCATTGAAAAACAAGATACGATCACCAAAAGACATCCCCATTTCAACATATTAACGATATTTATAAACTCAGCTTCAAATATCAAAATTATCACAAAATAGCTTTCTTGGTTTAGACTTTTAGGTGGGGGTGAAATGCTTCATTTTATAGTTGAACAATTACTTGAACCATGCATAAATGATATCTCGTAAGTTGGAAATTAATAAAGGATAGTCAAATTTAAAGAATAAATGATTTTGGAATTAGGAACGTTTTGTCATGAAGTGCGTAGAACTAATTTGGGCTTAAACTCAAATTTTATATGAGCTTATTATAGTGGCCCATTCATATGTCAAAAAGACAATTTAAATATATTTTTTACTTGCTCCTCCAAAAACATGTAAACGTGGGGCGAGTAGTCTTACACTCTTCTTACTTGCCGTGTAAATTTAAATGGCCATGTTTGGTCCGTATCAATACAAGAAGTCAAGAAGAAGACGTGTTAGAAAGAAATTGATTGCAAATGAAATTGAGGAAACAAAACTGTCAATGTGGAACCTTCCGTGACTCCAATTAGGGTTCTGAAACTTTTGGTCTCTCATGCAGGACTCCAGTTATATCAATACCGTTTCTAGTTCTTGACGAATCAAGTCAAAACCATTCAAACGGCCTTTTAAAATTCTTGAACGTTCGAGGAAAAGATACAACCCGTTTCCAAATTTTTTTTCCATAAACATTATTTTTTCATAGAGAAAATTGTTAAAAAGAAAAGGAAAGTAGAGAGAATTGCTTTAAGAATTTCCGATTGAGTATATAGTTGGTAAGCCTAGTCTAATATAATTATATTGACGGAAAAGATACGTTATCTTGCTTATAGAAAAACATACTAATAAATTATAGTCTATAGTCACAATTCATCATATTACAAGTCTAGACTCTAAAGTTGATAGAGAGTTTCTGAGAATCGAGAGGGAACAAAAAGTCTACAAGTTTGACTAAGAAGAAGCAGGCACATCCGCTTTGACGGAGAAAACGGTTTGGTTGGGAATGATGGAGTTGACCGGTAGACAAGTTTCGTGGAAGAAGAAAAAAAAAAAACACAAAATCGGATTTATTTTGCTTCGCTTTAATAGAAGACTTGTTAAATTAAATGAGTGTAATAATACCGCGTCGAGTATTAAAGTATTAAACCTAGATCCTCAACCGCACGTACGTGCGGGGTTTCATATTTTAGGAAAATATTTTTTTTAAATAATGGGTTTTAAAATATATTATGTATTTACTTTTGTGTTTGTAAAAATTATAATATATATATATATTAAGTGAGATTATTTTGTTGGTTTTTTATAGAAAATTTGCAACTGACATTTATTATCTGTCTGATTCATTACAATTTTAGAGTAATTGTTTATTTTAAATATTTGTATGTGTTTGTTTGAAAAAACTAAAACTGGTTACAGTGATCAAAAGATAATTTTTACATTTAAAAAGACATGTGTAATAGTTAGAATAGGTAAATTTTTATTTTGAAAGAAACTTAACTACACGAAGTATGCTACAATACATGGCCACACATCCGAAGTTTAAAAATGTATCCCTAACTACATAAACTATATGTATCGCATGCCCACATATACGAACTATATGTATCATGTCGCCAACATCACGAAAATAAATATTCAAAAAAAAAAAAATTAGTTTTTAGAAAATTTTTGTAAAATTAACGACATATTATTAAAAAAACTTTAGACTAGAGAGTATTTAAAATTTTCTATTTATAATTATTTTACCTAATTGGTTTTTGTTTTATTTTTAGTTTAGTTTTGAAATTATTGAAACTAACTAATTATAAAAATCAATGCATTGAATATATATACAAAATATTTTTATATTGAATATTGTATATATATTTTTAATTATACAATATTATAAATGATTCAATAGCATAATTTTCTAAATATTAAAAAACTAAATTTTTTTTTTTAAATATTTATGTTGGTCAACGCCGGTCAAACTGGTCAATGCCGGATTCCGGCGAAAAGTGTACCGGAAAAAAATGTTCGTGATATTGGCGACATGACTATATATAGTTCGTATATGTGGGCATGTGATACATATAGTTTGTGTAGTTAGGGATACATTTTTAAACTTCGGATGTGTCGCCATGTATTGTCGCATACTTCATGTAGCTAGGTATCTTTTTTCCTTAAATTAAATGAGTGTAATAATACCGCGTCGAGTATTAAAGTTAACGAGGGGCCATTAAGTATTAAATTACTTACTATTAATTACGAATTTTAGGGGTTGTTTCCTTCATTATAGCTTACCAAATTAAAAGAAACTTTCTAAATTCTCTGACTTACCTTTAGTTACACACTCACACACGTTCACATCTTCCCATTTTCCAAGAAAACCTTCGTTTTTTTTTTTTTTTTTTTTTTTTTTTTTTTAAATCTTTGGATCGATAAGATCCGATCCATAGCCAATCCGTAATACGATTTAGTGGAGTCGAACTCCGGTGGGGAAGGCGGAGTCAAGTGGACTTAACCACTTGACTAAAGGCACATCCCCAGAAAACCTTCGTTCATATTCTTCTAATTCATACGTTTTGTGGTAGTATTTTCAACTTTTGTTTTAAAGTTTTGAATTCGTAATACACCATCATATTTATATATTGCTCGAAAGATCCGGTAGCATTTGAGTCTGTCTGACAAAATAATGCATTTTTAAGATAAGTATATTACTCCCTCTGTTTCACAAAGAGTGTCATTTTAAAGTTTTGTACACAGATTAAGAAAACATTAAATTTTTTGTTTTTTCTAAACAAAAACATCATTAACTATATACCTAAACATAATCTGCCCAATAGTAAAACAATCTGCAGAATACTAATAGTCATAAAACATAAAAAATCATTAAATTTTGCATTGAAAACCTAAAACGACACTCTTAGTGAAACAGAAATAAAACCTTAAAACGACACTCTTTATGAAACGGAGGGAGTATTAGAGAAACCGAAACACACTATTCACGAATTTATTCTACATTTTTACTTTAATCCCCAAACGCCATTTTATAAGCTAAAACTCATTTATTGAATAAAATAAAAAAGAACCAAAGTCAAAGATAAGGTCAACCCCACCAGCCAAAACTTAGTTCACGGCACAACAAGCACCCAGTCTTTGAGAGGAAGATTTTGAAAATCTCGTGAAAAGACTAAAACATCCTTCTCTACTATCTATTCTTTAACTCCACTACGAAGGGTATTTCCGTAGTTTCAAACACATACGCAATTTCTTATAGAACAGATCAACAGATCAACAACTACTCTGCTCTTACAGGCGACGACGACGTCAACAACCCAAAATACCAAAAACCCCCAAAGAAAACTCAAAACCCACAATTAAAGAAACAACATTTCAATGATTCAAGATTTACTTCCTTTTACAGATTTTCTAAAAAACCGAAATTGAAACAAACAAAACCAAAAGACGTTACCTTTTTCATTGAATCCTCAATTTTCTGCAAATGAGTTAATCTTCCATGGCTGCCATGTTGATGCAGCCATGGCCACCGTTTCTTCCTCATCTAACCCTAATTTTCTTATCCCTAATCCTCTTTTTCCCTAATCAATCATTTTCTCAATCCGATTCTCCTCGAAACATCGAAACATTTTTCCCAAATGACACAATCACCGCTCCAGTTCCACCTCCGGTTCTATCACCGCCGGAAAACCCACCATCTTCTTCATCGGACAGAGGAAAGATCTTGAGGGCTGTGCTTATAACAGCAGCAAGCACTTTACTTGTAGCTGCCGTGTTCTTCTTCCTCGTTCATAAGTGGCGGCGAAGGAGAAACAGAGTCGGCGGTTTTGAGAACACCCTCCCACCACCGGTTCCTCCGTTGGCGGAAGCGGCTTTAGCTCGCGAAGGGTTCACTAGATTCGGCGGAAACGTAAAGGGTTTGATTCTAGATGAGAATGGTCTCGATGTGTTGTATTGGAGAAAGTTACAGAGTCAGAGAGACAATAAAAGTGGAAGCTTTAAGAAAGAGATCGTTTACGGAGACGACGAAGAGAAGAATGTGATTTACTCAAAGAATAAGAAGAAATCTGGACCGGTGACGGAGACTCCTCTTCTCAGAGGAAGATCATCGACTTCTCATAGTGTAATTCACAACGATAATGACCGAAATGCCACCACCACCACCACTCATCCTCCTCTTGTCAAGACTGATTCTTTTGAATTCGTCAAATCAGATCCGTCTCCGCCACAGCCACCTCCACCGCCAATTCCGGTGAAGCAGAGTGCAACACCTCCTCCTCCTCCTCCTCCTAAGCCTAAGAATGGTCCATCTCCGCCGCCACCTCCACCGTTGAAAAAGACAGCGGCTTTGTCATCATCGGCTTCAAAAAAACCACCACCGGCTCCTAGAGGATCATCTTCAGGGGAAGGTTCAAATGGTCAGGTAAAGCTCAAGCCTTTACATTGGGATAAAGTCAATCCTGATTCTGATCATTCCATGGTTTGGGACAAAATCGATCGTGGCTCATTCAGGTACAGACATCTTTAGATCCATAAGGACTCAAATCTTTCAATTTTAGGGTTTAGTCAGATAAAAATCAAAACTTTACAAATTTTGGTTTCTTCTTCTTCCTTTAGTTTCGATGGCGATCTAATGGAGGCTCTCTTCGGCTACGTGGCGGTCGGAAAGAAATCTCCAGACGACGGCGGTGATAAAAAGCCTAGCTCAGCCTCACCGACCCAGATTTTTATACTTGACCCGAGAAAGTCTCAGAACACAGCAATTGTGCTCAAATCCTTAGGAATGACTCGTGACGAGCTTGTGGAATCGTTAATGGAAGGTCACGATTTTCATCCAGATACACTAGAGAGGCTCTCTAGAATAGCTCCAACGAAAGAAGAACAATCAGCGATTCTCCAATTTGACGGTGACACGAAAATGCTCGCAGACGCTGAATCGTTCTTGTTTCATCTTCTAAAGGCAGTGCCTTGTGCGTTCACTCGTCTTAACGCGTTACTCTTTAGAGCTAATTACTATCCAGAGATCTCAAACCATAACAAATCTCTCCAGACGTTGGACTTAGCTTGTACAGAGCTTAGATCACGTGGCTTGTTCGTGAAGCTATTGGAAGCGATTCTGAAATCTGGAAACAGAATGAATGCAGGAACAGCTAGAGGAGATGCTCAAGCTTTTAATCTCACCGCGCTTTTGAAGCTTTCCGATGTGAAGAGTGTTGATGGGAAGACTACTTTGCTTAACTTTGTTGTGGAAGAAGTGGTTAGATCAGAGGGGAAGCGATGTGTGCTTAACCGAAGGACTAACCGTAGCTTTAGCCGTAGCAGCAGCAGTTCGATCTCCGAGGTTATATCGAAGGAAGAACAAGAGAAGGAGTATCTTAGACTCGGTTTACCTGTTGTTGGAGGGTTAAGTTCTGAGTTCACCAATGTTAAGAACGCTGCAGCTATAGACTATGACACCGTTGCTGCAACGTGCTTGGCTCTTGCGGCTAGAGCGAAAGATGCTAGACGAGTGTTAGCGCAGAGCGAAGGAGATAACAAAGAAGGAGAGAGGTTTGTGAAGAAGATGAATGAGTTTCTTGATTCGGTTGAGGAAGAAGTGAAGTTAGCGAAAGAAGAAGAGAAGAAAGTGTTGGAGCTTGTGAAGAGAACAACAGAGTATTACCAAGCAGGAGCTGTGAAAGGAAAGAATCCACTTCATTTGTTTGTTATTGTTAGAGATTTTCTTGCAATGGTTGATAAAGTATGCGTTGAGATCGCAAGGAATTTGCAGAGGAGGGCATCAATGGGGAGTCCTCAGCAGAGGAATGCAGTGAAGTTTCCGGTCTTGCCTCCGAATTTCATGTCGGATAGATCAAGAAGTGATTCTGGTGGATCAGATTCCGATATGTGAGTTTGCAAAGACCATTTTGAATCTTGATGATCATATTGTTAGAGGAGAAATGATTTGCTTGGTTGTAAATAATAGAATCGTTTGGGTATTGATTATATTTTTTTGCCTAAAAAACTTTTTGAAGTGTTGATAAGATTGATAGTCCGAGTTTTGTTTTGCAGTTTGACACTAACTTCATATTATGAACCAGTATTGTTTCTAGGATATTTTCTTCAGTATCAAACTTTGGTTACATTTTCAGTTTTTTTCACCAAACCTAAAATCTGTGGAGGAAACAAATTAAGACCTTGTACAAATTTCTCAGGAGCAGTAAGGTCAAGATTCATGAATATTCTATTCTTTTTCATTTCTTGCCATGTCTTAAATTCTGGAATTTTTAGGTTTAGAGTTGATAAAGACAAACGAAGAAGTCAATGAAAGGTTGTTGAAAAGCAAAAAAGATCCACCATGTGTCTACTGATTTTTCTCATGTTGAACAACATTAGTACTCAGGTGATGGCGAGGATCTTAAATGCGATTGCTTGTTCTGCTTGACGAGTTTCGCCACATTCCCTGCTGGTCAAGTGTTCTACAACTTCACCTTACGGTTCAAGGACTCACCAGATGGAACTGACTTCTCTTTCTCCTTTACTTTTCCCTAAGACCACACTTATTGGTAACTGATGACGCATTCCAAAATCAAGTAACTGATGACACAGATTTCAACCATGTTGCTATTAACATCAATAGCTTAATATCTGAGAAACATCAATACGCTTTGGTTACCTCAAAGATGATGCTACTATCAAGAACCTTGATCTAGTCAGGTGAAATTTTACGTATGTTTGGATTGACTATGATAGCTCCAAGAACAGCTTAATGCTACTACATCCTATTCGTGTGTCTAAACCCTCCTCTACTTACTTTTCTCGTTAAGGTACATTTGGATATATTTCACCAAAGCTCTCAAAAACAGAGAAAGAAAGCACAAGCTCTGATGAATTCGCATTTGGAGTGTTCATTCTGGAGACTAAGTCGGAAGACTGATATTGCCACGAAGATATTGCCACGAACATCATTGCCGAGCGAAACGGGTCTTATTGATTGAAAGGAGATATACTGCAGGTGCTTGATGAGAGACTCAAGCCTACCCAGGTCCCAGAGGAGCAACTGGCAGTAGTTTTGCTCGGCTTCCTTTGTTCGCATCTGGTTGCAGCTATCAGACCAAACATGTCCAGCATCATTCAGTTCTTGGAAAATGTAGCTCAGCTTTCTCACAATTTGCTTGGCATAGTGAAAGCTCCAGAAATCAGTGGAGCCAACTCAAGATAAAAGATCAATCCCATAATGGTAACACTAAAACATCATCAGAAGAAACTGCAGAACCTACAATTCTATCTAATGGGGTTGTAGAATAACTGTGTAAATTATCTGCTGAACATTAACAAGATTGAATCAATACACGTCTATTATCAGAACAACATAATCATTGGGTTCTATACACATACATAGGAAACTGAAAAATCTAACCATCTCTTCTTACTCTTATTACTCCTTCCACAACTAAATACTGGCAACTAGAGACTTTTCTATATAACAACAAGATCATTGGCTCTTTACCTCAAGACTGATGAAACAACATTGGTGGCGATCTTTGCCAGAAGATTAGACTAAAAACCGGATCGATATAACTATCATAAAACCTTGTCTAAACTGCTTTTCGGTAAGGTCCGCATTGGAAGAGAACCCTGCACAGGTTTTGCTTTCGGATTAAGAGAGTCCCTCCGGGTTTTGACATCAATCACTCCGCCTGCCTGTTGAACAAAAGAAAGGAAATGAGACCAGAACATCTCTTCCGGGACTCAAAAAGTGAAAAACTTTGTAAACCTTTGGGTTCTTCTGCAAGCCTGTCTTCTCTACAGGTCTTGCACCAGACTTGGAAAGCTGAACACCGTAAAGAAAGTATTAGCGTGAGTACGCAGAGAATGTTAGAGTAAACCTCCATGTTTGGTTTGGTCATGAGATATTACCTCCTTCTTTTGTTTCTCAGTGGTCTCATTGCTTTTGAGTCCATGAGATGGAGAACGATAGGCGGTAGTACCACTTCTCTTCTCCATGCTACTTGCTTTTGTAGGCCTGCTTTTTTAGGACAAGAACCAAACTTTTAGGACTCAAAACATGAGATGCTGCGTATCAGTAAACCAAGCAAAGGACCACATGTCCCATGAGTATATATATACCTGCCATTTTCCTTCTGACGAGTAGCTACTGATGGAATACTAGTTGGCTTTGCAGGATTCTGGTTTTTAAGTAGATGATCAGTGGATAATCTTTCACAATTGGTGAACTACAAAACATTACTTGATACTACTGTACCTGCTTTACTGCTGTGTTTATCACATCGTCAGAAGACTTGAAGTCGAAACTCTTTTGAAATGATTTAAATGCACGTTTGACAATGTCTTTATCTCCCATTCGCTCCATAATCAATGATTTTCTAGTGCTTGTAAGAGCAGTAGGATCGGAAGCAGGTGGATCCAGATTCATAGAGATATGCAATGACTTTGGAGCGGTTTGTTTTTTACTCAGTAAAGGCGAGACCTTTTCCTTCTTCATCGAAGAGTGAGATGTAGACAATGAAGTTTTTTGTGGAGCTGGCTTGTACACTCTTGGAGCTGAAAACCCTTGTGGGGCTTTTGAGATTGGTGTAGCTGGTTTCTTTGTTGCCTTCATCATGTTTCTGATTTCCTTGCTCGGTGGAGTTTTCCTTACAATCTTGTTAGTTTCCGGTTTCTTCGTCACCTGATTAGGCTGTAGACAAGAAAGTGATAGAGCGTTTCAGAAAACCAAAATGAAGACACAATCACACACAAGAACTAAACACATCCGAAGAACTTGAAAACTTTACCTTAGGAGAGCCTCTCGTAGGATTAATCCGCACATTTCCATCATTCTTCTTGATTAGATTAGGCTTTTTCTCTTTCTTCACCACCTTCATTGGCGTTTCATTTGTATCCTCAGTATCATTTGGTAATGAAATGTTGTCTCTCACTTCTTCTCTTACTTCTGTCTCTTCTTTCTCATCCACTTGTAAAACCTCTTCTGGTTTCTCCTGTGTATGGACGACCACTTCTGATTTCTTATCCATAAGACCAATCTCTGCTGATTTCTCCAACACTGGACTATCCACAGTATCCTTGACTTCTTCTTTCACCTGATCAACCGAGCTTTGACATTCCTTGACAACGATTGTTTCTTCATTACTCTCATCAAAACTCAGTTCATTCACTTCAGCAGCAATGTCAGTCACATGTTTATCTTCATCACAAGTAAATTGCCCATTAGATCCATCATCAACCTCAGAATCTACCACCAACCCGCCATTTTCGCGTTCCACACTCCCTTGATCTGAAACAATAGATCTAAAAGATGCATTTTTATCCATTTGTTTCTCCTGATCAATGATCTCAGCTTTCCTCTCAGCAATCTTCTTATAATGAGCTTCAAAATAAGCCTTCTTTTGAGCAACTGATCCTGGAGTAGCACACTTTCCAACTTCCTCCAAGTACTTGTTTGGAGAGAAAGCTGAGAACTTCTCCCATGAAAGTGAATCATTCTCAAACCTACCAAATGAAACCGACACTTGCAGGCTCGGATTCGATGAAGCCACCGCGTTTACCGGATTATCCTCCATCAAGCCATAAAATCCCTAAACCATGGAAAAATCAATACCCCCCAAATCAAGTCCAGAACTTGGAAGATCTCACAAACACAGAGACTAGTCAGATGGATGAACAGTGAAATTACCTTATCGTCAATAGTGGCAACACCAACTTGCATATCCCCCATTAATGTTCAGTACAAGAACCTTAATTCACACAAAGTCAAGGAAATTTGAATCAACCAAAGCCATTTATATTTGAACTAAAGAAAGATCTAGCAGCTACTTTCACTTTCTCCTTTTGTAATTCTCTAAACCCTCTTAGTGAGCAAACTCAGATTCTTATGGACAGTACTAGTGTGTACTTAAAAATGAACAAGCTTTCAAATAATTGAAGAAAGAAAAAGAAAGACCCAAATCTTCCATCAATGATTAAAAAAAGTACCAAACTTCACTTTGAAGAAGAGAGAGAATCTAAGAGAAAGTGAAAATGAGGATCTAAAATCTTACCAGAAAAGTGAAGATAACCCACAACACAAAATTGTTGTTAAATTCCCAATGATGATCCACCTTTTTCAAGCTTGCTGCTTCCAGTGGACAAACAGTTCTCTAAAGTAAAAAAACCAATATCTTTTCAAAGTTGAAGACTTTGAACAAAAAAGGGGAAGACTTGTCAATAATGAAAACTAATAAATAATTTTGGTTCACTCAGCAGAAAAAAATCTTAAATGCAGATTTAACAAGAGTGAGAGAGAGAGAGAAAGATGAACACGAGGAAGAAGAAGAAGAGATTAGATCCGACTCAGATCGGAAATGAAGACAAGAGTCGGTGGGACCATTAGTAGTGTAGTAATATGGAAGTGATAACTTCAAAGCAATCAAAGAGAGAGATCAAGAGACAAATAACACTGTTACTACTTGCGTACTAAGTACTTGTTTATGAGTAAAATATTTGATTAAAAAAACACTAATTGTAGTAAATTAAAAAGAATATAAAATTGGTGTAATAAATGTTATGCCTCCTCTTCTCAGGACACCTGTGGATGTGAGGGTCCCTATAGATTCTTCTCAGCGGTGAAACTCAACTACACACGGAAAATAGTTATGAACCAATGATCTTGAATCTGAACCCGATTTGATAACCACAAAAAACCGTACATGGGCCTTAACAATTAGCCCATTAGTAGTTTTCAAACGACGGTGCTTTGACATGTAACTCATGGTTTTGAAAACGAAAACATTTATTATCCTTGTTGACCAGGTTTGATAACATTGCGAGGAGACTAGGAAGAGTTAAATGAACAACTATAATTGCTTCTCCAATACCAAAAGCTTAGATTCCCAAAGAGTCAAAAGTCATCAATGTCATCACAAACCTTGCCATTGATCATAATCTTGAATGGTTTGAATGGAAAGTATCTCAACATTACGCATTGGCTCTGTTACCATATTACGAATGGGAGATTGATAGAGTTTGTTGTGAATATTCTCTATCAAATTGTTTTATAATGAGAAAACAGAGTATGTACAAGTAACAAACTAGTAAACTAGATTAAACCACTTCAATAGGCACTTCAAGATGAGTTTTATTCAGAACAAAAGATTGGAAACAAGAGCACCAAAATGACAAAAGAATTCTCAACAAAAATAAGGGTCATCAATGGCTTTTCCACAGCCTCTATATCTCTTCCCTCTCTAAAATCGATTTTGTACACCAGACAATCAAAGAATCACTCACCTGAACAATGATATTTGTAAACTCTGTAATACAACAGAAGATTTATGAAAAAAGAATGAAACTTTTTTAAAACTCTCACAAAAAGCTTGAATCATCAGTCAACTCCGACAGAGAAGCAAACCCAAGCAGAGACTGATCTTTAGCTCTCTCAATCTTATGTTTATACAAATCATATGGCTCCCAAAGATGATCCAACGGACAAGGTCTCTTCTCATCAAGTCTAACCCATGGCTTACCTTTACCACTCCAATGCAACAAACTCACAGGACCAGGATGCAATGACCGACAACTTCCTCGTATATTGTCTCCTCCTAAACCATGTTGATTCCATCTATGATCAATAGCTTCAACATTACCGGCAAACACCAAAAGAAACGGTGGTAATGATCCAAGATCGTAGATTCTCTTCTTCTTCTGCAATTGCATCCATTGCTCTAGCTTCTCTCTGTAATTCCCTTCTCTCCATCTAACAAGATCCATTACCATCACTCCTGTGTTGAAATAGCAAGGCTTTTGACCCGAGATTAGACCCGGTAAAGCCGGGTCTGACCAGAACCCGGAAGTGAAATACTGAGTGAAGTTCGCGTGACAATACTCCGGAGCTCCAATGACCCGTGACCCGGTCAAAACCGTGTTCCAAAGCTTTGTGATATCATCAACAGTTATAACATCCGAGTCAAGATAAATGACTCGTTCCACGCTTCGATCAAGAATATCTCCGAGATAGTTCCGAGCATAGTTCAACGGATTCTCCAAAGCTTGTCTAATCGACGACGATATGAGATTGATCACCGTATCTTCCCTAAAAATGTAGACTTTAAAGTTCAACGACGGAAAAGTCGACCTCACGAGTTGACTCAGAACACGAGGACTCGCCGAGTCAAACTCAGCAGCAATGAAATGGAAGAAGACGTTCTCTGGACACGACGCGTGGCGGAGAACAGAATGAACAGCTGCGATTGATCCACGGAGATACTCTGAATCCAAAGTCATAGCTATGTGAACAAGCGAAGGATCATTAGAAGAAGACGACACGAAATTGTCTCTGTTCACTGATGACGACACACACTCCTTGCCGTTTCTGTAATCCGGAGCTTCCATGAACGGACCAAGTTTACTAAACCCATTACCTCCTCCTCCTCCGCCACCGACACTCGTGATCCTCGCCGGAATCAACCGTATTCCAACGGCAAACGGTAACAGAACAATCAAACACACCACCGTTAAAGAAAAACGCGACGACATTACTAAAAAAACGCGTTTGAATCAAAGAAAAGATTAAAGCTAATGATATAGCATTGTGAAAGATTAAGTAAAGAACTAAAAGAATGTTCCTTTTTTGAAGTTTTGTGTCTCTCCACAGAGATGGAGAGATAAGGAAAGAGGAAGAAGAAGAAGAAAGATTGGTTATAAAAGAGATGTTTTTTTTTTTTGTTCATTGTCTATTGCCTTTAACTTTTTGATTCTTGATGATTTTGTTTTCCTCATTTAGGAGATTGCGTATCACGCGCGTATTAAAAACGCGTGAGACGGTATTAAGGCTTAGTCGTTAAGGGAAAGTGTTGCAAGAACAAATCCTAAGAGCTTAATTACCTGTAATTAACAAAAAGGTAATTACAAGATTTTAGGTGAGTTTAAGAGGGTTAATGTTCGTCTGTGGTAACGTGTAGGGTAAGGTTTTGGAAGTTGTCTTGACCCATTAAGGCGGTGCCAGCTGTGAAGGTCAAGGGAAACAGCTGGATGATTCGCTTTTTGGTGATTGGACGGTTGAGATTAAACGATGAGAACTCAATTTGTCACGTGCTCTGCACACCTATTTGCTTTGTAATGTAGTAATGGCTTATGAAATATGGCATTGGAAAGAAAGAAAAATCAGAAAATGTTTGCTAATAAATGTTTGTTTGCCAGTGGAAAAATGTTTTATTTTTGTAAAAAAAAGATATGAGAGATTTTCGTACTGGCAAGCATAAGCAAATGATGTAACATATTTCACAGGAATGTTTATTTTGGAAAAGAAATAAAGTAATACTATCATTTTTGCTATAATTCTATAAATATCAGATTTTTTTACAGGCAAGCAAGGTATATATGTCATAAAGAATATATATTTTCCCAAAGAATGTTAAGGAAAATGAAATAATTCCTTTTACATAACAAAACGGTAGAGAAAAGCACTGGATTTTGTACAACCAAACAAGGAAACTATAGATTCACTCACATGTCTCAATCATTTAACAATGATTTACTGTATAAAGTTAAATGCATCGTGTAGAAACTAGTACTAATTTTTTTTAAGAGAAATCAATATCAAAATGTTACGATAGTTTTTAAACAAATGACACTATGGTTTCACCGACGAATAAAACTCGTGACTATCATTCATAATCTGTTTTCTCAGAAATTTCATTAGAAAATATGTATGTTTTTGTTGTCGGCACATTTTATTAGGATATTAAAGTTGAATTTTTGTTCTCTTGTTAGTGTTAGTATATATTATTGGGCTGCTGGTAGCGACTACCAAGCCAATTAAATCCGAATATTCCCGTTGAGTAGTGCAGCTCATGGTCAGACGTAGCATCTTATTATATAAATTAACATTTTTCAATAATATTCATTTATGTATCACTTTCTCGATTTTTCTTAAGGACTTTTTCTCGGAGATCAGAAGAGAACACGATGAAGATTTCCGTTGAACATATTCGATTTTGATGATATAGACTTGTCAAACTAATAATTTACAGAGAGTTAAACTAAGCAAAAGTTAGATTGGTTTCTTTTGGCTTATGGAGAGAACCAAATGTTTGGTTAACGAAGGAAAAAGGAATCAACCATCAATGTTCTCTAGTAGTGATTAGTTGTTACAAGAAATCTAATTTAAGTATTAGAAAAAGAGAGTGAGTGGCGTCATAGAGTTTACCTATTCAATAGGATTTGGTGTTTATGTGGGGGATGATGAGAAAGGGACTTGTAGAGTAGAAGCAAAGATTATTCAAGTTAGGTGGTGGAGACATAACTATTCATGTGTTTTTTATTGGTACCGACGCAGAAGTTGGTTTTGCCTTTTTTATTTTATTTTTTTATTAGATAACGAATTTAGCACGGGTTCTTGATGATTTTGTAATCTCACATGTCGACATTTTTTACTTGAGACAAAGAAGCTGATGATCTTTTTCTTAACAACTCTCTTGTTATTTCTCGATCTTTTCTCACAGAGAGTGATGTTTGAAGCTTCTTGCTTGGTGGTGTCAATAACAATGTTAAAGCGTGAGAACAAAAAAGTTGGCAAACTGATGAAGCAATGGCTTTACACTTGAAATGAAAATTTGAAAAAAACCAGAAATATTTTGGTAGAAGTTAAAAAGATTTGTGTAGCCTTGCCTTTCGATTTATTGAACCATCATCTCCTTGGGAAGCAATGATTTATGGAAGTGTTACTTTGAGTTCTTTTCTGTCTGCTCCAAATGACTGCAAATTTCAACCAGTAGAAAATGCGTAAATCTCTAGATTCATATGCAAAGAACTACTAATACTACAAGGTTACAAAAGAACTAATACATGTTATGTTAAAAGGATGTAATAGTACCTCAACTCCGCAGTCTTTCACGTACATATTTGTGAATAGCTCAGATGCATCTGGTACAGGGCTCTCCTGAAACAAGTTAGACGACAAGGAATTAGTAAATGCTTTGATAAATATATCAAAGACAAAGCTGGAGACAATTAAGATTATTACCTTAGCCTGAGCTACGGCGTCATCTACTTCTTTCCTTATCTCTTTCTCCATGTCCTTTAAAGTCAAGAGGATATTGTCATTTGCATAGGCAAGTATGATGATTGTATTTGTATGTATAAATTTTTCAAGCCTTTTGTCTGCAATGGGAAGGGGGTGAACAGAGTACCTTAAGCTCTTTTTCTGTAGCTATGTCATGAGATAAGAGCAACTTTCTCACCCTTTCAATTGGATCACGCACCTAAAGGTAACACACCGATGAAAATTTTACAGATTAAAAGAGTTTCAAATTGCCAATGGTTGGAGCAGTAGTCTTACAAATGAACAAAGAACTAACCTGTCTCACGCCAGAGATTTCATCACGAGTACGGTAGGTGCTTCCTGGGTCAGACATAGAGTGACCGTGGTATCTGTAAGTGTCCATCTCAAGTATCTGTGCAAATAATGGCAATGGTATGTTGGTCATAATCACTAGGTAGAGAATGGATTAAAAATCCAATAAATGTCAACGCTATGTGATTGAATTCACAAGATCCAAAATGCTTGTCCCATATGTGTTGGTGACAAAAATGCAATGAAGGCAAATTAGTTGGAAGCTGAAGTCAACATGTAACATTCGACCCAACCAAAGTAGCATCACACATACAAGCAATAAATGATTCTTTGAATTCTTAATTCACATAAAATGCTCAGAGTCAATCTTGATTAGGTTTGTTGACAGATAAAAGCATTGTGCAAACTTACAATAGGTCCATTCTTGAGAGCATGCTCCTTGGCAAACTTGCACGCCTGTTTCACAGCCAGTGCATCCATACCATCCACCTAGAAAACAAAACAAAGCAGAACATGGTCACACTCTCACAAATCAGAAAAACAACGGATACAATTCTATTGGGTAAAGTAATAAAAACAATGAAACAACTTCTGTCAAACAACAAAGATAGACACTTTGGAGGCAATTCCATTGGCAGTTCTCAGAGAGTTACAGCTGATAACTTCCGAACACATAACTGTTAAGGTTTGTCCTATCCTCACTACCAAACTGTTCCATAGTCGACCCAGCGGTCTAAAGCACACAAGGAACCTCTATACCAACTAAAGCATGATATAGCTATTAACAGAGACAATCAACTATAATCAAAGCAAAAGCATTGTAACGCTCAAGATCATGCCAATAGACAACTAAGTCTCACCTTCAAGCCAGGAACATAATCTCCACGCTTGAAATAAGCTGGCGACTTAGCGGACCTCCATGTAGCCGTTCCCATTCCATCTAAACATCACACAATCCAAATCAACACAAAATAATCCAAGTAGTTCCACCAAACAAACACAATTAACAAAACAAAAAAGACTCACAATGGTTATTCTCGCAAACAAGAATCGCAGGCAAATCCCACAAAGCCGAAATATTCAAGGCCTCAAACAACTGTCCCTGATTAGCAGCACCATCACCATACAAGGCAAAAGTCACAGCCTCATCCTTATTATACTTCTGAGCAAAAGCCAAACCACATCCCAATGGAATCTGAGCACCAACAATCCCATGTCCACCATAAAAGGAAGCATCTTTCTTATAGAAATGCATAGATCCTCCTTTACCATGAGAACAACCAGTTTTTCTTCCCATAAGCTCAGAGAAAGCATCAACAAGCTTCCCACCACGACCAATGAAAGTACAGTGATCACGATACGATGTAATAATCGCATCTTTTCTGGTAATCGCAGCTTCCATTCCCACCGCTAAAGCCTCTTGACCATCGTACAAATGGCAGAATCCACGGATCAGCTTAGCCTTGTAAAGAGAATCTGCTGCGATCTCCATCCTCCTCATCCGAGCCATGTCACGGAAAAAGGCTAAGATCTCCTCCGATGAAGTCTCGACGGAGCGTGACGGCGATTCACATAGATGCGATGTGAAAGGGACGGCGGTTTCGATTGTGATCGGTGATGAGTCTGTGGAAACATGACGGCGGATGGAGGAGGGCAAAGCGGTGATCGCCGGCTTTAAGAAAGTGTTGGATCGCGAAGAAAGTCGTGATAACGCCATCGCCGGAGTCTCTCCGATTTGCTTTAAGAATTTCTCTTTTTAGGCAAAATTTGCAGTCAAAAATCGAATCTTTTTAAAGTGAGGGAAAGAGTTATAAGAGGCCGAAGCGTCGTTTATGGAAAAGGTCAAACCTTTTATGGTCATTTGACTCATTTCTACATAACATACCAAAAAAAAAAAATGAAATTTTTGATAAATGTTACAACATACAAAACTTTACACAAAGTGAGTGAAAAAGACAAGCTTTACATATGTAACAACATCCTTTTGGGGTTTGTTTCTTTTCTGTCACAGACAACAAAAAGCCAAATCCTTTGTTGCTTTCTTCTCATGAACAAAGAGAATGCAATTTGGCTTTATCCGGTGAAGTCAACAATGGAGAATTGCCACTTTTGTCTCTGTTAAGTTGGAGAATGAATGAATGAACAAGTTGAGTTGATTTGGTATTTTTCTGTATCCTTCTTCCAGATTGTTACAGTCTGGTCACAAGAAGTTCGTTTGGTAACATTGTAACCTCATTTGCCATACCCAAGAATGCTCATTGTAGCACACAGTTTTTCTTCTCTTTTTAACTCGCACCAACAAATCTTCTGTTTCTAATACATACGAGACCTGTAAGAGATTTCAGAAACGCGCTTTCAACTGCTGGTCTCTCATGGATATACTCATATAAGCGGTAAGCATGAAAAGGGGAAGGAGATAAAAGTGTTACCTTTGAAGAACCGCAGGCTATCTTACACTCCAACCCATTTTTAATCTTAACTCCATCTGTGCTGTATAACTGTTCATCTTTACCACAAACTTTGCGCTTGTTCCTGGAGAAAACGAAAAATGGCATTGCATCTGATGAGTGACCCACTAGGTTTCAGAGATCAAGGGGCAGTCATTTGTTCATGTTCTCCAGTTACCTATTTAAATAGATTCTGCGATCCTCCCTTGCATTCGATTGTATGGAAAGGAAGTCATTGTGGAGATAAGCTGCAAAGGTCGGGTCAATGGATACAGATGTCACATCGGGCTTATCAAGGCCGTTGCACATAAGCTGAATAGAGAGTTTGGCTGGGGTTGATAATCTCTGCATACACATGAAGTTTCAGAGTCCAAAAGCTTGATCAGCAGTGCATTGCAGAATATAAGTAGTTTATGTAAGATGGTGCAAAAGCTTACACATTCAATACGGTAAATATTCTCATCAGGGAGAAGGACACGGGCATTATCGTAATAAACAGCATCAAAAATCGTTTCAGGCCTTCTGGATTTCTCATATGCATAAAGCTGCAGAAGTTTGTTGTCCATCTCATCAGCTGCTACTCCTTGGAGCTGAAGAATGGCCACACATAGGTTAGTAAAAAGCAAGTAAAGATAGAGAGGCGAATACATAGAGTAAACACCAAAGACCAAAACTCACATGCTTGATGAATTTATGGATCAGTTTGTCCAATGTGAAGAGAATATACGACTGAGTCCCGATTATCGCTCGGCAGTCATCTTCAAACTTGGCATTATCAGATGTACCATCAAGTAAGTTGTAGAGAGCAGTCATGAATCTGTTCCACATAAAAGAAATTTATAAGAAGGAACACATGAATGCCAGAAACAAAAACAACCTCTGCAACAAAAAGCAAACTTCACCTGGCATAGGAATCAGTAGGATTTTTGGTATTTGAGGTCCTCCACTTTCCCTCCGGGGATGATGAGTTAACTTTTGCTGATAGTATTCTCTCGTACAATATCTGTCAAGAGTAATTGCGTAAAGTTAGCTAGTGAAAACTCTTTGTACTTTAGATTTTACTGTTTATATTTTTTTCAAACTGTATATGATTCTTAGCTCTTACCCGGTGCAGCCTGAAAAGCACGTAAAACGAATCATTTGCATAGAAGACTTGGGAGTTCTTCAAAGAGTCTTTCTCCTTGTCATGCAAAGCTATAGTTGAAGGAACATACTTTGCTAAGGGCTTTACATGCAGTAAGAATCGTGCTGAAAAGGGCAAGGCAGACCCATCTTCTTCAGCATCATGTGCATCAGCCATACCTTCAGCCTCGCATTCGCTTTCTCCCTTACTATTGCGATCCAAATCATCCTCCGGACCTTCACCACCACCAGACTCCGTTCCAGAAACATCACCGTTCTCATATGCATTTCTGCTGTCCTCTGATGATTTTGCGACGTTTTCGTCACCTTCAGCATCATTCTCAGCCCCTGTCTCCAGACAAGATGGTTCCCCTTCTCTACTTCTATCTCCGCTAATGTTATTTCCAGTATTATCATTCGCTTTGCTGGTGGTCTCCAAACCAGTTTTTTCATAAACTGCAAAATTATCTTCCTCAAAGTCTCCATTGGGAGAAAGTTCACCTTCTTCTCTTTCAACTTTGGAATTCCCTACCAACTCTTGGGTACTTGTTATTTCTACTGAGATCCCATTTGACAATAATCTCTTGTTACCAACCTGTGGGACAAAGTTTATCAGTACCACATCTTGGTTAACACAGAACTAAGGGTGTGTAACTTAAAATTTTAAAGCTACCTAAGTTTCATATGAAGGACCTAAGCACAAGTGTAAACAATGGGAGATATTTTTCCATATCAACAATATCCGGTCATAAATTTGAAATGGAATCATCTACTCAGACAGTATCAAATCAACATATATAAGATGATGGGACTAAAAAGTGCTTCACTGACACTATACCTCTAATTTTGGCCCATTTCCATCATCCATCTTCAACTCCAACTCTGTTCCACAGGTCACAGGCTTCAGATTATTATTGTTATGTCCTGACCAAGTAATGAGGAAACAATTTCATTAACTGGACAAAGAAAATAAAAAATTCCAAGAGAACTTGTAAGCAAGATTTCGAGGTGTTACCGGTCATGTGTACTATACTGCTTCCTCCATTACTTTGGTCTAATAATCCATCCACAGCGAGAGCAGTTGAATCTTGTACATGCTCAATAGAAACAGCTTGTTTGCTTTCAGGCCTTTCACCAGACGTAACTACATTCTTCAGCATTTTCTCATGCTGAGCAGTCTCACATAAGGCATCTGAAGTCCTAACAGCAGCGCCATTCCTCACCGAATTACTAGGTTGCCCCAACTGATTATGTTCATTAGCTTTTTGAGATGTATTTGAGCGTCTAGAGTCGGCAACACTAGCGTAATTGTGAGGACTTCCCTCGCTCTCTCCAGCACTTAAACTACCGCTTTTTACATTCTGGTTTATGGACTTGACAACGTCTTCTTGGTCTTCAGCACCTTGAGGGCGAGAAGGAACACCAAATATTTGTTCCACGAAGGTTGTCCAAATCTTCATTACCTTATCTAACTGTTCAGTAGAGCACATTTCTGCACAAGAATATTTGATCAGCTGGTAGAGATCTTCATGCAGGTCAGGATCCGGATAATCAAACTCCAAATTTGGGGAAATGGATAGTCTATTTCCCGCTGCAAAAGCAAGAAGTGAATCATCCTCTCGCTTCTTTTCAGTAATCTCTTTTATCTCTGCCAACAAAGCTGCAGAGAAAATATACTACACAAAGTCACTTCATAGCCTGATATAATAGAATAATGTGTGAAATAGGTTATGGACAAACCTTTCATGCTGAGACTCTTCGAATCCTGCTGTTTGAAGTAGAAACTTCGATGATCAAGCGATTTGTAGTAATTCTTAGCATATATGTCAGCCCAGACTTTGTCAAAATCAGAACGACACCTTGCCCACTCTTCTTGCTTCTGTTTCAAACGTGTTAGGATAACAGGTAATGCAAGAGACACGTTCTTCTTTAACACATCCATCACATCGAGCCCGTGATCACCATATAAACGTTCTATGCATCTTAGGTTTAGAGCTACAAAGACAGTAACAAAGGAATCCATCAAAAATGTATAAACAAAAATAGCTCAGCTACTAGTGTTTTAACATTCATGCTGCTTTTTGTTTTACACTAGCTTATATTACCTGTGAGGTGATCCTCGACACGGATGGGGCTGTTGGTTTTCAGTTCATTACTGTTAATCTTTGCCAGTAATTCTTCCACATGCTTTGTAGTTGAATTCACAGACTCTAATAGCATATCTAGCTCAAACCTAAAGCAAAAAGAGAGAGATATCTATTCAAAAAAAAAAAAACAAGATAATGACTCACAATTTGACCATAAAAATAGCTCACCATAACAGGATAATAATCATTTTTTATAAAAAGTATGAAATACAGGGTTTCCTATCCGTAACTGTCCACCATTAGAAGTTAACAAACTAACCTGTCATCTTCACATTTAAAGAGGCTCTCTTCATACTGGTTCTTGCGCATGTGGCTAAATGAATAATCTTCACTTCCTGATGTGACGGAGACCCAGTGATCGTTAAGAACCAGTTTACCGAGCTCTGTCTTCTGGCTTGCAATAGAGATTGGGTACTACAGAAAGTAAAATCTCTTACATTAGTGATTAGACTAATGAAACAAAAGATGAACTCAAGAATAGCAGATCCACATATAACAAGCTGCAGCCACATACATTCTTTGGAAGTAACCGATAACTAGGAGTGCATTGTTCACAGTTCGAGAGATCTAGTTCACTGATTGGCTTTGCCCATTTCAGATTTGCAGCTGCTTTTTCAAGCCTTTCCTTATCATGATCTCTGTCTCTAAACCCGTCATCTCTCTTATGTTCTTGGTCTCTATCATTGTCCAGTGATGGTTGAGGATATTTGCCTTCACTCCACAAGGATTCTGCAGTATAGTTTAGAATGGATTTGTTTTCTTTTCAGCACTAGAAATATATATATATATATATCTGGAAAGAAGATCAAACATAATAGTGGAGTTGTGTAGTTCACTACTCATGAATACTTAATATACAGAAAAGGGCTCGGTCACTCAGTATCAGATTCATGTAAACTTGCAAAAGATAAGTAGACTTACTCTTAGTCAGAATACCAGAGAGCAGTCCTTCTGCAAGAAGATTGAAAAGGTTAAGAATCTGTCTTTTTTCTAAAATCAAAGAAGGTAGGAAGAGAAAAATCATAGTTTTGCCGCGTTACCAGTCTTTTCGCATTGCACCAAAAACTCTATAAAGGAATCCATGAGGTCAGGATATACTCCAATTAAATTTCCTACCTGATACAAGCACAAATGTTCATGAATTATTGCAAACAAATGCCACAGTGAGAATTTAATCATTTTATTTATGCATACCAAAGATTGCAATTCTGGTCGGCTGATTATTTCTTTCGAAAAGAGATTAAGGCAACGTAGAAACTCCTGGTACTCGGATGCATTAAGCTTTCCCTTTACTCTATCGACAATAGCTAGATCTTGACTGTAACCTGACATCACATAAGACAATTTTAAGTACATACGGAATAGCAAACAACAAACTCACTCCTTATCATCTTTCAAATAAGTTGTCAAAAAACGAGAACCCACTTTTCATGGCACCTTTTTCATCATAAGTAGATGAACTAGGAACCGCTCCAAAAAATTTATTCCCTTCCCTGACTTGATTGGAAATTTCAGCAGAATCATCGCCTCTGATGTGTATTTTCTGCCTCTTGTTGAGAAACTGCTCTTTTTTGCTATCAGGTTCCAAATCTCTGGCATCCCTCTGCTCATTTTCGTTGTTATTACCTCTCATGTGTTCTTTATTTTCTTTCTTCATAGGTCTCTCCCGGTCCATATGTTCAGTACCATAGTCATGGTCAGGATGTGGAGTAATGATCCGGTCCTTCTGCAACAATGCTCAAACAAATGATCTCGGATAATAGAGCAAACATAAAGACATGAGTATTTCTAGGATTAAACAGACGTCTGAGAAGAACCTTATCAGGCAGAGACATCCCTCTGTCGCGAGCTGAAGTTTTCACAGAATGAATAGAGGGTGTTGCTGAAGTATCAGGCAGAAAGTGAGTAAACTCTACAAGCAAATCCGTATGATCCCGAAATAGGACGGCAACCTGAGATAGACATGTTAAACTAAGTACAGAATAACCAAAACAAAAGAGTATCAATCAATGAGCCTACCTCCTGGTAGACTTCAGTTATGGACTTGCTATCCTTTCTGTACATGTTTAAAATGTCTAAAAATGATTTGTATACACGATCGTCGCCCTGAAACCTTGTCTGCAAATGAGTGAATATCTAAGTGAGTAGGAAAGGGAAAAGCGGTACTTTCATTGGACAGTTTTAGCACATAACGTAAAACTACCTTAATCTTGTTAACAAAACTAATTGCTTCCTCAAACTCAACGCGTTTCTTTAGTGGAGGTTGTCCATCTTCAGGTTGGAGTGTGATCTCAAAACCCTTTGGCAAGAAGGTATTGAAACCCAATATTAACTCTTGGTGCCCTTTGAAAAGTTCTTTTACCCTTGTTATCACACCAGCTGTATCAACTCTACAACGCAAAAAGCAATTCAAAGATCAGTTCTCAGTATTATCCGGACCAAGACCAAAACCAAACATAAAAGGAGAAAGAACTATACCGCTGAGACTTAAAATTCTTCATGACCTCAAGAAACTCGTCGTATTTTTCACGTTGATCCTGAAATTTATCCTTCACAGCTTTAAGGTATGCAAGCGCGTCATTTGTAGTTAGCTTCTGAGCACTTCCTCCTCCAACCATGGTGTTTGAAGTTGAACAGAGCTTCATTACCATCAAAACAGATCATATCAAAGCCATTCAACATCTCTCAATATACCAAAGAACGTTTCTTCAAAAATTGAGAATTCTAGTAAATTTAGATTCAACAAAAACAGCAAAAGAACAACAAATTCCTTCATCTTAATCCACAAATCACAACCTAATTGAAACTAGTAATCAGTCAAATAAACAAGGAAATTCAAAGAATCGAACTTGAATTCATCCCAACAAGAACACCTGCAGATCTAGCAGCTACAAAAAAAAAACAATTTTTGAAGAAAAAACGAAAGGAGACGGACCAGAAAAATTCGATCTTAACTTAATCCTCAGATTATTTCACATTCACTAAACGATTAAAATTGTAATGCCCAAAAATCAAACACAAAGGATAAAAACGAAAGAAGATCATCATCGTTAATATGTTAGAGAGTTTACCGAAGAATTTCAGAGAAGAAGAAGAAAAAGAAGAAGTCTAGAAGAACAAGGTTCCTCCTACAAGACGAAGACGAAGACGAAACAGCTGAGAAGACAAAAACTATTCAACAATTTTCAGACAGAAAGACTCACTGAGCAAACAAGAGAGTTTTTATGTTTTATGAAGAAGATTGAGATTTCTCTAAGGAGTTTTACGTCTTCTTAAGTAAATTAAATTTGACGAAAAAATACATTTCTTTTTTTTAAATGTTTTTTTATTAAGTCGTATTTTCTTGTTTATATTACTTCCTTTTTTTGTTATATCATTTTTGGAGAGTTATAATTTATCTTCTTCTTTTATTATTTCTAATAATTTTAGTTTTGGAAATTTTTGACCTCCTTTGTTTATGTGAGAGACAGACTTAATTTTAAAATATTTGATATAAAATAAAGGAAAATAAATTAATTATGTTTGTTGGAAATAATTTTGTAACTTAAAAATGATTAATCATATTAAATATTTTTTTATTTTTAATAATTCCTTAATGCAAGATTATCATAACTATTAATTTTAGGGATGGCAAAAAAAAATATAACTAAAATAATTGGTGTAAATTGAATCTAAATTGATACGGTTAGATTTTGCTTAAAACTTAAAATCTGTTTCGCTAGCATTACTAATAGAAGAAGGATTTAACTCTAACTTATCTAAAAACCATAACACGGAACATATTTATCGCTTTTCAAATTTAATTTAAATATTTTTTATCGGCGTAATGATATTTCCGGTAGACCGAAAACTTTGTCGTTTTGTTTGTAGAACAATTCCGATAAAACTTATCCTCATGTTGCCGCCGGATTGATAGGCAGAAAATAAACCCCCTAACCTTCTTCATACACATAGTCGATTCATAGGTAAGCATGTAAATAACTAAATGATAATAAATTTGAATTTTGATACAGACTATAATTAATAAGGTAAAAAAGCTGTACTAATCATTTAAAGAAGAAAAAAACCTCTATTAGTATCTCTGACTTGAAAGAAAAAAACTACGTATATGTGAAGCGAATGAAGTAACATAGCAATCCTTTGGTCACAAACTGAACTCTGAGAAGTAGTTGGCAGAAAGAAATTCGACTCCTCAAGCAAATGAGGATGATCTATGCCAAACTGTGATTGTACACAAAAAAAACATATTAAAAATAAACTAATAAGAGCATCACATCAGCAAAATAGTAGACATACAGTAGACACTTTTTGTCCTGTTATAGTTCATTTGATGCATCATAGACTCAGAAATCTCTCTGTCACGAACTTGAGTCTGTAGCAGAATGAAGAGAGGTTGTTGGTGAAGTTGCAGGCAGAAAGCGATTAAACTCCGCAAGCAAATCCGTATGATCCCGAAATAAGATGGAAACCTGAAATAAACGTGTAAAAAACTAAGTAAAATATTAGGACTAAGAAAAAAAATTAGTATCAGTCAATGATATTGAGTCTACCTCATCGTAGACCTGGGTGAGGGACTTTAAATTTCTCTCATTTCTGTAGATGCTTAAAATGTCTAAAAATGATTTGTATGCACGACCGCCTTGAAACCTCGTCTGCGAATGAATGAGAATGTTAAGGGGAGTATAGGAAAGGGAAAATCAGTATTTTCCTTAGACAGTTTAGCACAGAAGATATCTACCTGAACCTTTGTAATAAAAGTAAGAGCATCCTTAAAATCGGGTTCCTTATGTGAAGGTTGTTCATGATCATCGGGTAGGAGTGTGATCCTAAAACCCTTTGGCAAGAAGGTATTGAAACCCAAAAGTAACTCTTTGTGCTCTTTCAAGAGTTCTTTCATCCTTATTATGACATCAAGTCTATCAACTCTACAACACAATTCGGTAATCAGTTCTCAGAAACCATGGAGTATTATCCAGACCAAGACGAAAAGCAAACATAAAAGTAGAATGAACTTTACCTCCGACATTTAAAATCATTCATGATCTCAAGAAATTCGTCATATTTTTCATGTTGATCCTGAAATTTAGCCTTCACGGCTTTAAGGTATTCAAACGCGACATTTGTAGTAGGCTTGTGTGCACCTCCATCTCCAACCATGGTTTGAAGTTTAGGAAAGCTTTATTGTCCAAAGAGAGGCAGCCAAAAAATAAAGGTGAGGCATTATTAGAATCAAACTAAATTATTATATAAAGTCTTTTAACATCTCAAAAGATGGTACAAGGTTTCTTCAAAAAATGTTAGATCCTTGAATAAACCCCAAAAGTCTTAACAACAAAATAATTCATTCCTCAAAAGATACCATTATTAGTTATGACCCAAGTTTACTCGAGGAAAAATTCAGCATCAAACTGATAGGATTAAGAGATAATATTAATATCATTCCTCTATTTATGGACCACATGACACATAAACTAGTACACATGTGAATCAGTCAATTCAAACACATGGGCAAATCAATCAAATACTGGATTTAGATATGTCTTATTATCATTTTTAACCAAAGATATATCAATTAAGAGCTAGTCATAGTATTAAATCTGATGGGATTTAGAGACTAGCTTAACACTTTTCTTCCGAACAAAACAAAAATCATCGACTCTAGTTTTGAGGGTTCAAGTTGATTAAACTTCATCAGTCGGATTTGATAATTCATCACATATACGAAAAATATATTCAACGAACTCAATTTGGATATCATCTCACGAACAAAACAAGGCAACAGATCTAGCAACTACAAAAGCAATGAACCAGAGAATAAAAACTTGTAGTGGACGTAACGAAAATCACACAAGTTAAAAAAGAAGAAGATCACATGTGTATTAGTGAATAGTTACCGAGTTTCGGAGACGAATGAAGAAGGCTTCACGATCACGATCACGGTCACGAAGCAGGAGAGAAGAGTTTCTAGGAGAAATCTCTCGATAGGGTTTTGTTTATGAATTATGATTCCTCAGGTTAGGTAAGATTTTCTATTTATATTTATAATTTCTTTTTCTTTTTTCTTTTCTTCGTTTTTTTTTTTCGATTTGGGGCATTTTAATTATTTAAGTACTTCTTCTTTTTTTAACAACAATTTACTAAACAAAACTAAAAATGAATTTTAGCTGTTGATCTTTTATATGTTTTTCAACACTAATTTTCTTAATTAGAGATATATACTACTACTTTTTTTTTTGTCAACAAATATATACTACTGAGATATATACTATTTTTTTTGGCGACTTCTACGGAGATATATACTACTACTATCAGCAACTTTCAACTACGTATACAAAATAACTTTTATTTATTTATTTGATATATATTAAAAACAAACCAATTTCGTGAATGGTGTGGATCAACATCTAGTTTAGTTATAAAAAAAGGTAAAAGAAGGTTAAAAATTCGACTGATCTGTTAAATTCGTCATAAACAAAATAAGGCTCTGAGAAGTTTTTTTTTCGAGTTCTGTGAGACTTGGATTTTTAAAATTGAATATAATTGACACGATCAAATTCAAATCTCATTCTATCTCATCTTGGTGAAACTGAAAAGCAAAGATTTAATAACAAAACACAAGTGCATGTCAGAAGCATCGACCTAAACTAAAACCTCTCTCTACAAAAGAAACTATACACTCCATTCTCGTTTATAAATACATCTCTCGTTATAATTGTAGTAGTAGTGATGCTGATGCTACAGGTTTCTTTTTTAAAAATTTGAGAAAGTCCTCAATCAAATCTTCATGATAGAAGAGAACATCAATGACCTGCAAGACAATATTATAACCAAATCAAACCAAGAAAAAAAAAAAAAAAAAAACACAAGTACAAAAAATAGCCCACCAAGAACGAACATACCTCCTCGCGCACCTCCTTTACCGACATCTTTCCCTCTTTAAACATCTTCATTATCCCTTGAAACGCCCCCACTACATGAGTATCAAGTCTCTGAAACCTTGTCTGCAGATGGACAAATTTGTTCTAGTTAGCAAAAGAGGAGGAATAAAAAAAGATTTGGTGTTTCTATTTGTCATTTGTGTACCTTAAGATTGTTCATAAAATCCTTTGCAGCATCAAGTTTCTTTTTAGTACGAGCAGCTTTCTTAGCCTCAGGTGAAAGGAAGACATTGAAACCAAGAAGCAGATCTTGATGACCTTTCATGAGTTCCTCCACCCTTGCAACGACACTATCTTTATCCACTCTACAAAAAGACAAGTAACATCAGACTCAATTCAGACAGTGTTTTGTTATGAAAATAAAACCAAAAGTAAAGAATCCATACCTAAGCTCGCGAACACCATTCAAGAGCTTGACAAACTCGACATATTTTGTAGGTTGATCATGAAATGTTTCCTTCACAGTATTTATGTATGAATGCGCATCTTCCACAGTTAGAGCTGGTGATACTCTTCTTGCAACCATGGTTTTGAATCTAACTAACTAAACCTTTTGGTATCAAAAAGAAAGAAAGAGAACATTGTTCAGTAAAACAGATCACATCATTGCATACCTCCTCAACTATCTCAAAGTTATTATTACCACCTGAAGAAACAGAACCTAGAGTGCAGAAATCTTAATCTCTTTTATGATTTGCCTCAACACAGAATTTGAACAAGACATAACCTAATTCTCAAAATCCAAATAACTGTCTCAACCAAAATCAACAACAACTAATTCAACACTTAGAGGTCTTAGAATCTCAGTCTTAAACAAAAATAAAACAAAAACTTAATCCACTAATTTAGAGTTTGTCATCTCTAATCTGTGATGAATTACGAAATTAAATTCGAAATCATCCCAGAAACTATAAAATCAAGCAAATAGGAGCCTGAAAGTAATTCTCTAACCCGAAACAAAATTCGCACAAAACAAAAGTGAAAAACAATAAGAGAAGAAAATGAGCGTATAGTTACCGAAATTCGAAGACGAAGAGCTTCGAGAACAAGCTTCCCTCGCTTACGACACACGATTACGAAGCAGGAGAAGAAATCTCTCTCTAGGGTTTTAGTTTCCGACACTTACGTTGGATTATATAATTGAGGATTAGTGGAGTACATCAAAAGTACAGTTAAAAAGGAGAAAAGGGATTTTTTTTTTGATTAAAAATTTAATAAGATTAAACTTTTTTTTATGAGAAAAGTTAAATTAACTAAAATTTTGAGAAAAGGGGAAAAGTATAAAAAAAAGTGAAATGTAAATTTAAGTATAAGGGATGATCTAATGAAAAAATAGAGATTTATGTTTAGCAACATTGACTTTGACATAACATAACAATATATATATGTATAAATTAATTTGATATGATTAATGTTTAGCAACTTCAGTATGTCTTATATTATAATACACCATCAGATTTGTGGGTTTTGTAATTTTTTATTCAACAACTTCAGATTTTTTTTATATGTAACACGAAATTTACAACAATTTTTGTTTTTTTAACACAAACTGCATTTTTATTAAGCGGAACAAATGTAATTAGTGAACAGATAATCAGAAATACAATGAGGAATATAGTTATGATAAGACCAAATTTACAACAATTTATCACCCCAAAAAAAGAGTTATTAACTTATTATAAGAAAATTATAATATAGTTTTAATAATTAAGCAACTGGTTAAATGTCGTAACACAAAAGAAAATAAAATTTACAGATTAAAATACCTATAACTTAAACCAAAAGATGGCGTATTTTATTTATTACAAATCATCTTATAAAGTAAATTTATTAGTTTTTTTGTTGACCAGAAAAATAAATTAATTTTTACAAAAACTAAGAAAGTAAAAATTTTAGATAAATATCTCAGTTATTTTCAGATCTATCAATACTTTTGAGTTTTATGTTGTCTATTTTTTTATATCAACTAAATAATTTAAAGTGTTGTTTTATAAAAAACAAAAAAGTGTAATATAGTAAATGCCACATTGTAACAAATGTGATTTTAAACTCTCGAAAAAGTTGAAGTAATAAATAAGCTTTGACAGATGCTTATGAAGATTTACAATTTAAATTGTTTTTTACTAAATTAACATAAAATCTGTAAATTATAATAAATGTGAAATTTTATTTTACAACTGACATGTGTTTATTTCATTTAATATTAGATACAATTATATCTCATTGCTAAAAAGATGTTAATTGCAAATAGACTGATTTCACTAAGGTTTTTAATATATAAAGACACCTAAACCTGTATAACAAAAGTAATAAAAAAAGAAGGAAGGAAAACACCTATAAAACCTGTTACAGAAAGCCCTTGCATATATAAAATCTTTGAGAAATCTCTCTAAATTTTGGTGAAAATCTCGTTCTACAAATTATTGTACTTTCGTCATCTAACAACTAGACTACGACGATCGACTTTTTTTTTTCTCTTCGGTTAGTTGCTTTCAAATCCTTTCTCTTATAAGTGATATGTACATGATTCTAAAAGTGATTCATAAGTAGTTCATCATTAGCTTTCTAATTAGATTTCTTTGGGAGCAAATAATTGCTTTTTGAGGATAAGCTTTTCATAGCTTATGGCTTTTTCAAGAGGAAAATTTGAATAGTAATGTTGTAAGACTTTCAATTAAATTTCGCTAATGAAAACGTAACCCTATTTTTTTTTTTTTTTAAAGAAGCTCTAACCAAACTTCAAACCATGTCTGGAGGAGAAGAAGATGTACAAAACCTAACAACACGTAACACTTTTAAAGGATGAGCCTATTAATATTATATATATCTTATGGCTTTTTCAAAGATTTATTGACGCAAATTTTTTTTGATTGTAATGTTTTAAGACTTTCAATTCTATTTGATGCCAATGAAAACTTATACCTACTTTTTAATGAAGGTCTACATAAACTTCAAACTACATCTGAAGGAGGAGGAGGAGATACAAAGAATACAAAGGTAGATGATGCATGTAGATTTCTTTTTAACGTTAAGGTAAATATTTATGTCCCGGCCCTATGACTATTTTTGTGTTCTTTCCTTACTTATTCTCTTCTAAAATACTTCACATTACTTCAGGAAAGGTTTAAGGACGATACTAACGATGTATTCAGTTCTTTTATCGACAATTTATTGAAGTTGAAAAGTGGGAGCAAGTCGATGAATGAGGTTTGCCATGAGGTAAGGTTCATTGTTACTATTTCCATTCCTATTATTTATATTCTAAAGTTTATATATTTGTTTACTATACTCTTTTCTTAGCCATTTTGTCTTATAAACATGTTTATTATCTCAGACTACGATACAATTTCGGGAGCATCCTGATTTGCTTTTGGAGTTTGCTCCATTTTTGGCTGGCTTTTCTCAAGAAAGGCCTAGTTCGTGACGCAGGGATGTCTATGTCTATATAATATTAATAGGCTTATCCTGTAAAAATGTTACCTGTTGTTAGGTTTTGTATATCTTCTTCTCCTCCAGACATGGTTTGAAGTTTGGCTAGAGCTAGCTTCTTAAAAAAAAAAAATAGGGTTACGTTTTCATTAGCGACATTTAATTGAAAGTCTTACAACATTAGTAAAACCTCTATAAATTAATAATGTTGGGACCATGATATTTTATTAATTTATAGTGATATTAATTTATAGCGTAAATTAATATTTATTAATTTATAGAAAATTTTGTTTGTATTGTGAAAACTTTAAAAAAAAAAATAGGAGGTAAAGCAATGTGATCTAAATAAAATTAATGTTCTAGATGTTATAAATTTTATAGTTTTACCCTTAAACACTTAATATTTCGTAGAGAAAATAATATATTTTGACAATGAATAACAACGATTATAGAATTCACATATACCAATGATATACATAAATTAAAATTCACAAATAGTGACATCCATTGTTGTATTTTAAAAACCTATACGACTATTAAAACAAAAATTATGCATATTCAAAATTTGAAAACTTAAAAAAACTTTTGGCTATTTTTATGAAAAAGACTAAAACTATTATATATATATATATGTGCAAATTTACATGATTATTAATTTATGATATTATTGGGACTATATTTTTACATAGAAATTTCAAAAAACTTATTATCTTATTATCTTATCGAATTTGGTTAATTTTTACACTGGTCCGACTCGGGACCAGCCAAATTTATTAATTTATCGTGTTTATTAATTTATCGAGTATTAATTTATAGAGGTTATACTGTATACAAATTTTCCTCTTGAAAAAGCCATAAGCTATGAAAAGCTTATCTTTAAAAAACAATTATTTGCTCCCAAAGAATTAATTATTTGCTCCCAAAGAATTAATTATTTAGAACGCTAATGATGAATCACTTTTTAGAATCACTTTTAGAATCATGTACATATCACTTATAAGACTAAGGATTTGAAAGCAACTAACCGAAAAAGAAAAAAAAGTCTATCGTAGTCTAGTTGTTAGATGACGAAACTACAACAATTTTTAGAACGAGATTCACCAAAATTTAGAGAGATTTCTAAAAAATATTATATATGCAAGGGCTTTTTGTTTTGTTTTTGGCAAACATATATGCAAGGGCTTTGTGTAACAGGTTTTATAGGTGTTTTCCTTCCTTTTTTGGATATTACTAGATTTTACCCCGCGGTACACCGCGGGTCGATTTTTTTATAAGTAAAAAATTATTTAGCAAAATTTTAAGTTGTATTTGTTTTGTTAATATTGTTTATTTTGTTTAGTGTTTCTGATTTTATAATTAAATTTTGATTTTTAATTCTAAAGTTTCATCTATAGTATATTGCTTAATATTAATATCGATCTAAACCCGTTGCACCATATAACCCCGTCCCGTAAAATTAAACATCATTTGTTATTTTTTTTGAATAATATTTTTATCCACTACGGGTCGCAGGTTCATGCGGATAAGCCCGTAGAGAGTTGCGGGTTTGCGTGTCGACCCGCCAAAAGAGAAGCTATCTTTTGAAACCTTTTGTTTTATTTAGAGGTTTTGAGAAAATATCCCTAAAAATAATTTTCATTATATGAAAAAAAAAAAGTCGAAGAAATTGTAATATCAACATTCCCGATTTTTACATCACTCGTTACTATTAATTTTTTTTTTTTGCAGATAAAAATCAGAAGTTAACTAAGTCGAGATTTTTAAAAAGATTGTGTAGAAATTTTTGGTAAATTGTTGAGAACATATTTGATTTCAAAATCTTTACTTAAATAGATAAAGAAAGATTTTGTAGAGACTTTTGCTAAATATATGAAAAATGAATTTCATTTAAAAATCTTTACTTAAATAAAATAAATCTAAATAATTAATGCTAATGGCATGCCATTGTAAATACTTCTCAACTTCAGGATTTATTTGCTAATTGTGATCCAAAAATGTATATATAGATGAAGATATGTACACAGAGGAATCGGAAATTAACTGACACAAAAAGACAATGTCTGACAAACACTGTATATGTACAATTGACGATTGCACCCCTATATATCTGCCAAAGAGTGATTTTAGGATATAGCTGAATTGTGTGAGATGACATGAATAAGATCTTTTGGTTTGATTTTTTTAGGGAAATCCAATATAATTTAAATTTAAATTATTTTATGTCTCAGAATTTCCAATGGCCACCTTCTTTGGCGGTTATATCAAAAACTCGAATTATTGTTGTTTGGAGAATCAGAGAGATTGAATTTTTTTGTTTAAAAGCAAGCGTATTGTTTCTGGAAAATCTAATAATCGCCTCTTTTGAAGTCTAAAACGGTGAAGGTAATTGTCTTAAATTTCAGACCTAGCGTTTTTCATTTTATATGTTCTCGATTGGTTCGGAGTTTAAACACTACTTGGTTTATGTGAATTTTTTTTAGATGTAACAGTTTATGGTTCTTGGAAGACTTTCTCTACTCGATAAGGCTAGTGTTAACTTGATCACGATTTATAATTTTTTTTTCTTTGGTCGATAAGTTTGGCAACGCGAAAGATTTAAATGCGAAAAGGTCGGTGAGTTATAAAAAGCATTATAACAGACTTAGTGAGCAACGTTTTAGTAATCATGTTAATAGAATTTATACACGCTTACATTGAGACCTTAAATGTTATTTTTTTTATTTTTTTTATTTTTTATTTTTTTTTTTTTAAAGACATTTCAAAACTTAAAACAAAGTAGTCTATTTCTTTTCTCCCAGGCGATATTCCCGAGACGACTCAAGAGCCACCGTTTGCCGACGCCGGTGTAGCTATGGCTCGCCGGCGTCGGACTTTGTCTTCTCTTTGCTGCTTTGCTTCTCTCCCTACGAATCCAATCGGTTTTCACTTCAAGTTTTTCGTGCTTTGGGAAAAGTCTCAGTTTCGGCGAACCTGCCTCTACGGCAAACTCCCTGGTGAAGCTTCGCTCTTCGGTGGTCCTGATCCTTTCTCGGTCCATTCTCGAAGATTTCTTCGGGCACTCCTTCTCCTTCCTTCCTTCATCTCTCCGACGCGTCTTGATGTCTGCAGATCTGCTGATCTGGATGTTGGTTCCTCGAGCTCCCTCCACAGAGAGCTTTGCCCTCTCCCGTTCTCCATGTTCGATGATGTTTTCGCCTCCGTCAACCGCCGCCGCCGCCGCTTGTCTTCCTCCTCGCTCGGATTAGGTCAAATCTCCACAATACAATCTCGGTGGAAGTGTATCAATTGGGCTTGGCCCATCTTTGGGCCTTCTAGAGTCTGTTGTGGCCTTTTAAGCTATTTGGGCTACAAGCTTGTTTTGTTATGCAAACAAGTTTTTTTGGTCTTCCCCCGTCTCACCCTTTGCCACCGCTTCACCATCTCCGACTTTTTCACTCACCGGTTCACCGGATACTTCTCTGGGTTCCTTCTGCCTACACCGGATACTTCTCCGGTAGGTCCAGTTTGCTTCTGGTTTAGAACCACCTTTGTTGGTTTGGATTCCGCCCAAATTCGGCGAAGATTGATCACCGGATACTTCTCCGGCGTCCTCCTACCTGCCTCTATGGCAGATCCTGGTTGTTCTCAACCTAGAACCACGGTTGTTGGTTCGCGTCTCAACGGCTATTCAGTTTGGTGCTTTGTCACCTCTTTCTTGAAAGCCAATTTTAGGATTGATTTGGTTGCCCTAGTGGCAGATTCAATCTTGCACAACATAGCACTTTATGTGTTTTGTGTTGTCCAAGGAGTCATCTCTTTTCTTCGCCATAATGTTATCAAGGTTCAAGGACGCTGCGATGACGTTTATTGCTTAGGGGTTATGATTGCTTTGATCTATCCTTCTATCTGCTTTTCTTTGTATTGTTTTTGCATTTGGTTCAGGGAGTTTGACTGCGTTGGCTCCTCCCTTTGTAACTCTTCCCTCCTTTGAGGATGATTAGCTATGATATAAAATCTTGGTGCACAAAAAAAAAAAAATGTTATGTTTTTTTGTTATCATCTCTCTACTCACTATTATCATTATTAGCCTAGTATTATATCAACATTAACTCATGCTATACTCGTGTTAATATAATTCATGTTTCGCTAGCGATATAACCCTGATACCATGTTATCTTCTAACTCTCCCATTACGTGTATGACATGATTATTCAGCCGCAAGTCAAAGTTTGTTTTATCACGCTAAATATTTTTTTACCAGTTATTACTAATGTTATCGTCTTCACATATATAATCCAACCCTTGAAATCTAATCGTTGGTTCGATAACAAAATATGTTTATCTCGTTAAGTATATTATTAACATGTTAAATAGGTGCTTACCTATGTTTTTACTCCATTTATCAAACTACCCGCCATGTTTCACTAACAATATTACCCTGATAATACGTTATCTGCTAACTATCATGATGTATATATGTATTATTCTCTATATGATTATTCAGCCGCAAGTCAACGTTTGCTCATCACGCTAACATAATAAGTCAGTGTTGTTTTGATAACCCAAAATATGTTCATCACATTAAGTGTATTATTAATATGAAATCTCTAATCTTTGACCATCGTTTATTGTTAGCTCCACTTGCATTGTCGCAGCTAACATTGGTGTTACATAGTAACATTCTTGTTAACACGCTATATCATATAACTTTTAAATCCGTGTTATTCCAATAGTTATCTGAAATGACCGCCTAATTCATACTCCTAACCTTGATATTGCATCCCAAAACAAATCCTCTGTAGTTAATAATTTATTTTTTCTCAGAACCTTTATCTTTCCACGTGCTACACCACTATCTTCATGTTTTGTAGGGGCAGTTCCGTTTTAATTATTGTAGGAGAGGAGAGAGAACAAAATATCTAATAAAGAATGCTACATAATTAATTTTTCGTTCTTCTGTGTATTTATATTTAATCCACCCTCCTTTTTTTTATTACTTTTGTTATACAAGTTTTATTATCTACGGTTTTATACTTACTTTAGTTATCTTAAGAATATTTTCTTGTATCTAGGTCTACTAGGCTAAACTTTTGAGTTTCTTTGACCGTTTTTTGTTCACCAATCCTCTTAAAAATAAGATTGACAACCAAATAATGATAAGGTCCTAAATTATTTACTCATTATTATCTACTTATAATTGGTAATTATTAGCCTAATAGGATTTAAAAAAAAAAATAAGTTAACCATATCTTATTCAAACTTTCTATGATAAAATTAATAAATACAATAATTTTTTTTATGAATAACCCACCCTAATCCTAGTAATAGTTATAATAATCTATATATAATAGCAATCTAATAAATACCATTTGCACATCTGAACGGTTTCGTCTTTTTATCGCAACATTTCGTTTAAATCGGTTATTTTTTTATGGTTATTTTAGTTGCGTCTTTTTATCGTAATTTTCGTTTTAATCGGTTATTTTTTAACGATTATATCGTTTTGAATAAATACCATTTGCACATCTGAACGGTTGTGTCTTTTTATGGTAACCTTTTGTTTAAATATTTATGGTTGTTTTCTAGATATAATAGCAATCTCAATAAATGCCTTTTGCACATCTGAACGGTTGTGTCTTTAAATCGCAACTTTTCGTTAAAAAAATTTTAAACTAAAATATATATTTTACGGATATGTTTTTTAGAAAATTGCAATCCGAATGTCTTCATCAGTTGCGTCTTTTTATTGCAACTCTTCATAAACAATTGCAACCTCCTATTTGAATTATTGCAATATTTTGTTTTTTTCACGAACGATTGCAACCTTTGATTTATATATTTAGTTTATTTCACGAACAATTGTAACATTTGGTTTATTTTATAAATTGCTATAACATCTAATTATCTACCGTCGATTACTCGATTCTCTCGGTATAACTTTTCATATATTAATATTTTTAATTTTTAATTACCAAAATTTATTTAAATGAGATTATAATCGTTTAATTGAACTGTTGAAACATTTGGTTTATCTGACAAATCATTGCAACTTTTGGTTTTATTTTACGAGCCGTTGTAATCTTTAGTTTATTTGACAAACTTGACGAACCGTTGCAACTTTTGATATATCGCAACATGTCATTTTTTTTAAAACTAAAAAAATCATTTTACGTTATGTGTTTTAAGAAAGTTGCAATCCGAGTAAATATTTTTTTACGGTTGTATCTTTTTTATCGTAACTTTCCATAAAATGGTTGTAATCGTTTAGAACCATTGCAACATTTAGTTTATTTCACGAAAAATTGAAACTTTAAGTTTATTTTATAAATCGTTATAACATTTAATCATCTACCATCGTTATTATTAATTTTTGTTTGATATTTTTTTAAAGATTTTTGAAATATTTTCCCCCGCGACATCGCGGGGGTCCGGAGTCCTAGTAATAATAATAATAATAATAATAATAATAATAATAATAATAATAATAATAATAATAATAATAATAACCACAAATAAATTCTTCGATTTAAAACAAATCTAAACCAAATCCCAAAACATCACCTCCCCTCTCATGCCCAAAAGTAATAATTAGTTGATCTCCATGATCTCCATCCAAAATGGTAAAAATGCATTGAAACCAGAAATCAAGTCTCGGTCTCCGTTAAGCAATTCCAGCACCGCTCTTATGCAATCATTCCTACTAATTCTACAATGAGATTATAAATCAAAATTAATTACTTGTTTAACAAAAAATTGAACCAAACATTGTTTAATCATATTTTCCAAAAACTATATATATCACTTACTTCCGAGTTTTAAAATCTTTCATGATCGCAAGAAAGTCTTCATATTTTTTTCTATCATTATGAAAATGATCCCTCACAGCCCTAACATATGCATATGCATCCTCTTTAGTTGGCTTCGGTTTGTTTGGATCAAATAAACGTCCTCCATCCATGGTTTACAAGTAATCGAAGCTTTATTTTCCAAACAAAGAGAGTGATTATTTAATTATTTGATTTCACTAAAAAAATTAATAATTGAATTTTTATTTCTATCATTTCAAACACATTAACTTCTTTTCTTTAAAAGTTACTTTAAATTAAAAAAAAAAAAAAACAGAATTTTGCATCACGGATCTTAATTAAAAATTACTAGAATTAAAATAAAATAAAATACATGCAATGAACCATGCAGATTGCAAAGCACGAGAACATGACAATAATCAACTATAGATTATTTAAGTCAAAGAAGAATTGTTAAAAGACTTCAAAGTAACAAACCAGAAAAAAAATCATTTAAGAAGAAACAAACCAGAAAATTGACTCTACGGGTACTTCACGAGTAGGAAATGAATAGTTTTGAGTTGTATAGGTGTCTTTATATATTAATAACCTTAATGAAATCAGTCTATTTGCAATTAACAGCTTTGTAGCAATGAGATATAATTGTATTATACTAATATTAAATGAGATAAACACATGTCAGTTGTAAATAAAATTAAAATTTCACATTTATTATAATTTACAGATTTTATGTAAATTTAGTGATAAACAATTTCAATTGTAAATCTTACAGATTTTATTTACTTGAACTTTTTCGAGAGTTTAAAATCACTTTTGCTACAATGTGGCATTTACTATTACAATTTTATTTTTATAAAACAACACTTTAAATTATTTAGTTGATATACATTTTCTAAAAAAATAGACAACATAAAACTCAAAAGTATTGATAGATCTGAAAATAACTGACAAGTCAGTTGTAAATAAAATTTCACATTTATTATAATTTACAGATTTTATGTAAATTTAGTGATAAACAATTTCAATTGTAAATCTTCATAAGCATCTGTTAAAGCTTATTTACTTGAACTTTTTCGAGAGTTTAAAATCACTTTTGTTACAATGTGGCATTTACTATTACATTTTTGTTTTTATAAAACAACACTTTAAATTATTTAGTTGATATACATTTTCTAAAAAAAGAGACAACATAAAACTCAAAAGTATTGATAGATCTGCAATTAATTGACATATTTATCTAAAAATTTTAGGTTCTTAGTTTTTGTAAAAATTTAATTTATTTTTCTGGTCAACAAAAACTAGTAAATTTACTTTATAAAATGATTCGTAATAAATAATATACGACATCTTTTGGTTTAAGTTATAGGTATTTAATTTCTTTTGTGTTACGAATTTAGGATTATCAAGATTTAGTTTTAGGTAATTTAAGCAGAGCAAAGAGGTGCTCTTTTTTTTGCACATTAAAAAAAAAAGAAATAATAGACAAGACCCAAATTCTTCTGAGGTAACAAAGAAATATCAATATAGCATTTTGATGATGTTCTGTTCTCTCTTTAGACGAAGAAATCAAACCTAACTCAAATGTCTTACAAAAGAAAACTATAACACTCTCTTCTCGTTAGAAGCTCTACTCTTTTCTGTCACATTATATTCAAGCATATTTAGGCTGAGACAATTTATCACTAAAATATTCGCCAAACTCCATGATTAAATCTACATGACCCTGAAGAAGTGCAACGACCTGCAAAAGATAACAAAGAGCAGATCAAACAAAAGAACTAAGAAAGTGAAACACACAAAGTGTCGCACCAAGAACCCTACCTCATGATACGCCTCATTTTTGGACTTGTTTCCCTCAATAGTGTACATCCTAATTATCTGGAGAACTGAGTTAACTACATGACCACCATCACCCTGAAACCTTGCCTGCACATGGAAAATTTTGTTTACTTAAATCACAAGTTAACATATAGGAAACATCAAAATGGTATTTCCATTAGTTTACCTCAAGATTCTCCATAAAATTGGCAGCACGGTTTTTTTTGTTATTACTAGACTCAGCACTACCACCATGCTCATCATCTGGAGGGATGGTTCTCTTACCCTTTGGAATAAAGAAGGGTAATTTATCAGATTGATAATAATAACAGATGCATATATCACAAGCTAGCAAAAGAGAATCATTCATCATTTTAGCAAATTCTATACCTTATGCTTGTTCACAGAATACTTGGGAAAGAAGACACCTAAACGAAGAAGCAGATTTGGGTGCCCTTTAATGATTTCAGCCATCATTGCACTGCCATTAGCTTCATCGATTCTACAAAAGAGAATACTAACATCAGGAAACAATTCACAATGTGTGTGGTTGTTGTGTAGATTCACAGTTGTAAAACTTGGAACAAAGAACCAAACCAAACGTAAAAAATTCGTACTTATGATCACAAACATCTTTCATGAGCTTGAGAAACTCGTCAAACTTTGCAGGTTCATCAAGAAATGCTTCCTTCACATGAGCGATGTATGTAACCGTTTCACGCATAGTTGTTCGTTCTCTTTCATGAAATGCTTTCTCCGTAGAAGCGATATTTAAACGATCAGCATCCATAGTTAGCTTCAATGATACTCTTCTTCCGATTACTGGAGATCTCTGTTCGTTAAAAACAGAGCAGATCATCATCAGTCGATCCCTCTACTATCTAAAATAAAGACTTTTGAATTCACAGGAGACTAGAAGAAAGCAAAATTGCATTGAACGAGAACATGACAAATCAAGATTACATTCTAAGACTAATCAAATACCAAATCAACCCAATCATTGGATTCAACACATCAATGTCACGAACTCTTCTCTAGAAGAAACAAGATAAATATCGTAATGGAGGATTATGTAATGTAAGTTTCATCTTCCAAACTAAGGATTCATGCAAGGAAATCTTTAGAACAACAAGAAACTAGAAAACATTCAAATGAGAAATCGAGAGAGGATTCGAGAGCAATGAACCAGAAAACTAGATCATTAACCTAATCGTCAGATGATTTCAAAGAGGAACGGAAGAAGAAGAAGAAGATGGTCGTATAGTTACCAAACGAGCAAGATGCTTCCTCTTCGCAGTGGAAACGACTTCAAGATTTCAAGAAACAAATTCAGTGAAACTGGTTTGAGTTTTTATTCGCAGTGTAACTAAATATGTTATATTACGAGCCCATTTTTTTTTATCACTTTTAAAACAGAAAAAATAGTAATTAAATGATTTAATAGTTAGTTGGATTAGATTGTTTAATTAGTTTTACTTTTGGGTATTTAGAGGACTTAATATGCCAACTTTTGTCGCTTAATATGCCAACTTTTGGGTAATATCTCATCAGTGAAATGAATTTAAAGGGCCAGGTCGATCCTATGCCTAGTTAATAGAAGCATATAATATACATGTCATGATATTCAAATAGAGTATGAATCAAACTAAACTCAAATCTCTACAAAAAGAAGCTGTACACTCTCTTCTCGTCGTTTTATACACAACATTTTAGAGAATGGTGTTCTCTAACTATCGTTATCTACATATTATGTTCTACACATCATAAAAGGGACAGTGAATTATGAAACTTTAGTCTCATACTATCTACTGATGTAGTACTAGTAGAGATGTTGATGCGAAAGGATCAGGAAAGATTCTGGAGAAGTCCTCAATCAGATCTTCATGATAATAGAGAAGATCATAGACCTGCAAGATGTATTATATAACCAAATCAAACCGAGAATAAAAGAAAGAATTGCAAAACAAAATAGCTCAACAAGAACCTACCTCCTCGTGCACCTCCTTTACTGACTTCTTTCCTTCTTCATACATTTTCATTATCGAGCGAAATGACCCAACTACATGATTATCAATTCTCTGAAACCTTGTCTGCAGATCGACGAATATGTTATTTAATCTCACAAGTTAGCAAAAGAGGAAATATCAAGAAAGGTACCATCATTCTATGTACCTTAAGCTTGTTCATAAAATTCAATTCATCAGAGTGTGTAGGTTTCTCAGCCTCAGAAGGGATGGTTCTTCTAGCCTTTGGTGGAATGGTTATCTTAAACTTCAGAGGGATGGTTCTGCTAGCCTTGGGAGGGGTGGCTCTGTTAGCCTCAGGAAGGCTGGTTAGCTCATCAGCCTTGTGAGGAATTGTTTTTGTAGCCGCAGGCAGGAAGGCACTTAAACCAAGAAGCAGATCCCGGTGATCTTTCGTGAGTTCCTCCACCCTTGCAATGACACTGTCTTTATCGACTCTACAAAAGAGACTAGTAACATCAGAATCAATTCACATGTGTATTTGTTGTCTAGATTGAGACATGAAATTAAGAGAAACTCAAATATACATGGAGAAAATAATTCTTTACCTACGGGCTCTATAAGCATCCAAGAGCTTGAGAAACTCGGCATATTTTGCAGGTTCATCATGAAATGCTTCCTTCACGGAGTAGATGTATGAACGTGCATCATTGATAGTTTTCTTTGGTCGTACACTTTTTCCAACCATGGTTTGAAATTGGCTTAACCCTTTGTTCGCCTCAGGAGGGATGGTTTTGTTAGCCTCGGAGGGGATGGTTCTATCAGCCTTGGGTGGGATGGTTATCTTATCCTCGGATAAAAAGACTACCTCCTCGTGCAGCTCCTTTATCGACTTCCTTCCCTCATAAGTCTTTTCAGTCATTGTCGGAAATACAAGAGTATCAAGCCTTGTCTGCAGAACGATGAATTTGTCAAAATATAAATCAACAAGCTAGCAAAAGAGGAGATGGTATTTCCATAGGTTTACTCATCATTTTAGCGATTCTATACCTCAAGCTTGTTCATATGATTCTCTAAATCAGCACATTTCTTTTGATCACCATCAGACTCAGGGCGTTGCTCAGCCTTGGGAGGGATGGTTATCTCAGCCTCGGGCAAGAAGACTCTTGAACCACGAAGCAGCTTCGGGTACCCTCTAATGAGTTCATTCATTCTTGCAATGACACTAGCGTTATCAACTCTACAAAAAGAATAACAACATCAGAAAAAACAAATTCACAAGATGCTTGTTTTGTAGTGTAGACTCGCAAAGACCAAACCAAACATAACAATGAGAAAACAATTCATACCTATGATCTCGAACATCATTCAGGAGCGCTTTAAACTCGTGAAATTTTGCAGGTTCATCATGAAATGCTTCCTTAACAGAATCAATGAATGAAACTGCATCATCCAAAGTAGGTTCCGGTGATACTCTTCTTTCAATCATGGTTTGAATCTGTGAAGAAGCTAAACCCTCCAAAAAAAAAGAAATATTTGTTCAGTAAAACAGAATCAAACCATTGAATACAAAGCTATTACCAGTTTTTATTTAGTAGAAACTTTCAAAATCCTTCAAGAAACAGAACCAAATTCAGAACTATCAATCTCATTCCTCAACAACTTTAATCCAAAACGACTAGATAATACAATTGCATGTTATCAAAACCCTAATCAGATACAACATTGGATTCGAGGCCTCAATGTCAAAATTAAGCGAACGCCAAGAGAATTTCATGTACAGCAACGAACCAAGAACTCGATCGTAAACCCTAATTGTCCTGACTCCTGAATACAAATTTCAATTGAACGAAAATCGAAAGAGGAACCAAGTATAATTACCGAATTTGGCAAACGAGCAAGAAGGTTCTTCTTCCCAAGAAGCTACTTCAAGGTTCCCAGAAGCAAACCCACAGAGAGAGACTGATGATTTGAGGTTTTAAAGCTTTTTTTTTTTTTTTTAATGGTAAAACGAGTTTTTTAAAGCTTTCTACAATACTAAAATCAAGAGCAAATGAGAAAATTAATGGACACATTATAGTATAATTTATTTTAATTTTTACTCCAAATTACATACGAATTGAGAAAAGCCATGCACATATTTAATTAGGGATGTAATTAATAAAAAGAAGTCCAAATATAACATAAAATTTAGTCGCTATTTTACACAACATATTTAAATTAGATATATAAAATATTTTGAGTATATATGTGATTAAGTAAAAACGTGTTTCATAAAATCATATATGAATTTCATTAAACAAAATCACATAAGATTTACTAGAATTATCCGATTGACTACTAATTATATAAAATTTGTTGTCATTAGTTGATTTTTGTTTGGTTTTGCTCTGTACTTTTTGGCCACTTTATAGGTTTGAGGCTTTGAGCAAAGGCTCTGTATTGTTCCTCTCTGTTTTTGTTTGTACTTTGAACTAAGATGACCATGTCAGGAGAAACTATACACTCTCTTTAGTCTCTTATGCCCAATCATTGTACACCTCAAATATAGAAGCATATGTGCATATCATGATGTCATGTTCTTCTCTATAGTGTAAGAATCAAACTAGTCTCAAATGTCTACGAAAGAGAACTACACTCACTTGTCGTTAGAAAGAACAACTCTTTTTGTCTCTTTGAATATACCCCAAACATTATATTCAAAGCATCTTCAACTAAAGCAGAGACAGTCTTCTAATCTACTCATCTATCTCTAGCAGATTTTGACCCTGATGGATCAGTAGGTTTTTTTAAAACGTCTTCAAACTCCATGACTAAATCTTCATGACCCTGAAGAAGTGCAATCACCTGCAAGCAAAGATAACAAAGCAAATCAAACCAAAGAACTAAGAAAGTGCAACACACACACAAAGACAAAGTGTCCCACCAAGAACCCTACCTCCTGGTACAAGTCATTCACGGACTTGTTTCCTTCTTGGTACATTGTCAATATCTCGAGAAATGACTCATATACATGACGATCATTCCCCTGGAACCTTGCCTGTACATCGACGAATTTGTTACTTAAATCACAAGTTAGTATAGAGAAAACATCAAAATAGTATTTTCCTTAAGATTGGTTTACCATTTTAGCATCCTATACCTTAAGCTTGGTGATGAAATTTGCTACACGTATTCTTTTGTTATTGTCAGACGCAGCCCGTTGCTCAGATTTTGTCGAAGCGATGGTTATCGTAGACCTAGCTGGAACGAAGACCCTGAAACCACGAAGCAGATTCGGGTGGCCTTTCAGGACTCTCTTTACCCTTTCACAGACTCTTCCTTTACTATCTCTGTAAAGAGACAAGTAACATCAGAATAAGTTCACATGAGAAAATCAAATATAACATGAAGAACGACAATTCATACCCACGCCTAGCATCATTTAAGATCTTGATAAACTCTCGATATTTTGCAGGTTCATCATGAAATGCTTCCCTCACAGTATCGATGTATGAAACTGCATCATCGAAAGCTGGCTTTGGTGGTTCGCTTCTTCCAACCATGGCTTGAGATTGGCCTAACTCTTTGTTAGCCTCAGGAGGAATTGTTTACTTAGGCTCAACTGCAAAGAAGGCATTGAAACGAAGAAGCAGATCCTGATGATCTTTCAGGAGTTCCTCCACCGTTGCAACGAGAGTAGGATAATCGATTCTACAAAGAGAATAATAACATCAGAATCAATTCTCACATTGAAGATTGTTTGTGAGCAAACCAAACATACCTATTAGCTCTTAAACCCTGCAGGATGTCGAGAAACTCTCGATATTTTGCAGTTTCATCAGCACCAAATGCTTCCTTCACATCATTGACAAATGACCTCGCATCATCAAGAGTAAACGCCGGTGATAAGCTTCTTCCAACCATGGTGTAAAATTAGCCTAATCCATTGTCCAAAGATAAAAGATTTTTGTTCATCAAATCATTGAAGAAACAGGACAAAGAGTGCATAAATACAAATCTTATTCCTCAAGAAACTTAATCCAACCTAGAGCGCTTTTTTTGACGAGACCAAACAACACATTTACCAAAAAAGGTCGATCTTTTAACCTAATCGTCTGATGATTTCGCATAAACGAAAAGGGAATTAAAAAGGAAGGAGTAGGTGATCGTAACCCTAATCGTCTAGTGAATTCACAATGATAAATCGAAAGAGGAACCAAGTATGGCCGACCAAAGCGACAATGAACAACGAGAAGCTTCGTAAAACCTCAGAGACTTATTTGAGTTTTTTTATTCACGAGTCTTATATTTATAGTAGGGTTTATCATATTTGACTTCATTTTTTTTTTGGAGTTGTAAATATTTGGAACTGAAATTTAATAAGATTTCTATTTATCAAAGACGATGATAATGTTTTTTATTATTAGAATGCAGATATTTGTATTAATTTTAATCCTTCATAAAATCTTATATCAATTCGTAATTTATATAATCTAGAAAACACATTTGTTGTTATTAAATTTAACTTCATTCTTGTTTGGTTTGCTCTGTAATTTTTGGCCATATATATAGGTTTGAGTTTAGGCTCTGTTCCTCTCTGTTTTCTACGTTGAACTCTGTTTTGGCAATGAACAAGAAGCAAAGGAAGTATTGACCGCATCATCGATAGTAGGAACCGGTTAATCTTGCTGAATACTGATGTCTAGTCACTCTCCTAGCTTCAGATTCCACTGATCAAATTTAGCTCAGAGATCACTAAATAGACAATGGTGATAGATAAATGAACTTAAACAATGATCTAAAGCTTCGTTGCTTCTTTTTCTTCTTAAGCTCTTTGCTGTTTTACTTGTGCCTCTCCTCTGTGTAGATTTAGAGGAACCAACTTCGTGCTCTTGTTATTTATTTTTCAGCTTTGACACTAAAGTTTATATGTTTTCTCTATGTTTGGGTCACAGTGTTATGATATCCATCTACATTAGGCTTCTATGTGTTTAACATGTTCTTTGGAATTTGTTTGTCAAAAACATAACATATTCGTCGAGGTGTTTATTACCAATCCTCTGCAGATTGTAGACAAGGAAGCAGTTGAGCAAGTGACAACTCTTAGAGACATTCCAGAGATAAAGAGCCACCATGTTTTGTATGTTCTCTTTGGTAACGAAGAAATATTTAGTGAAAAAACATTTGATATCAAAGAAACCTCTACAAAAGAAGCATAGCATATTTGTGAATGTCATGTTAATCAAACTAAACTCAAATGTTTACAAAACAAAACTAAAAACACTCTTCTCGTTAGAAGCTCTACTCTCTTTTTTTTGTCTCTGAAGTTATACACTGTCTTCCATTACTGTTTTTAGCTATATCTAGACTCTATGAATCACTGAAAATTTCTGAAAGCTCCATGAGTAAATCTCCATGACCCTGAATAAGTGCACCGACCTGCAAAAGGTAACAAAGCAAATCAATCCAAAGAACTAAGAAAGTGAAACACACAACACAAAGTGTCGCACCAAGAACCCTACCTCCTGATACACATCATTTTTGGACTTGTTTCCCTCACTGTACATTCTCATTATCTGAAGAACTGAGTCAACGACATGACTACCATCGCCCTGAAACCTTACCTGCACATCAACAAATTTGTTACTTAAACCGCAAGTTAACATATAGGAAACATCCAGTAACTATCAGCATTTAAGCATTCGATACCTTAAGCTTCGTGATAAAACTCATTTTAGCTGAAAGGAAGACACAGAAACCAAGAAGCAGATTCAAGTGATCTTTCATGAGTTCCTCCACCCTAGCAATGACACTAGCAGCATCGAGTCTACAAAGAGACTTAGTAACATCAGAATCAATTCACATAGACAGAGAAAATCAAACGTAACATGGAGAAAATAACTCATACATACCTGCGAGCTTTAAGATCATTCAAGAGCTTAATAATTTCCTCATATTTTGTAGGTTCATCATGAAATGCTTTCTTGACAGCAATGAGATATGAAGTCGCATCATCCATGGTAGGCTTCGGTGGTACGCTTCTTCTAACCACCTTATGAAACTCTGTGCTAGCCTCGGGAGGGATGTTTATCTGAAACTGAAGTGGAAGGAAGACATTGAAACCAAGAAGCAGATTCACGTGATCTTTCAAGAGTTCCTGCATGCTTGCACTGAAAGCAGCTATACCGATTCTACAAAGAGAAAAATAACATCAGAATCAATTCTCACATGTGTCTTTGTTCTTTAGACTAGCTGTTTAAGAGCAAACCAAACATACCTATCAGCTCCAAAATCAAGAAAGGTTCTTAGAAACTCTTCATATTTTTCAGGTTCAGCATCCTGCAATGCGTCCCTCACAGCATCGATGTACGACATCGCATCTTCCATACATAAATCCGGGGATAAGTCTCTCCCAACCATGGTGTGAAATTGGCCTAATCCATTGTACAAAGATAAAATATTATAAAGTTTGTTAATGGATTTACTTGATTTTGGTTTTCTTTGCTCTGTTTTTTTGGGGCCATTTATAGGCAACTTTAGCTTCTTATGTTTTAAACCTCTAAGTAATGAAAGTTATGTGTTGATTAAAACAAACCAAGAATTATGAAATTAAAATTTTATCATTTCATTTAGTTATTACGGAAAACTAAACATAATTGTAACTTAAATTTGCTAATACAATAACACCTAGTATACTATAAATTGGTTTGAATTCTCATAGTATCTGATATTCTAATATTTTAATATTTGTTGAATTATAAGAGTAAAGAGTTAAAAGGAGGATTTTTGATTTTTTAAATAATTTCGGGTTGAATGGAGATTGATATTAAAAAGTTGAAAATCACAAAGATTATACATCCTTAATTTTAAGACACAATGGCTGAACCATAACATGATTCCTAGATGAAGAAATAGAACGGATCACAAATAAATTTTTTGATTTAGTACATATCTAAACCAAACTTGGTTTAGACAAACGAAAAAATCCCAAGATATTCACCTACCCTCTCATGCCCCAATATAATAATTTTTGATCTCCAAACACTTTGATAAAGAATGCATTAGAACCCGAAATCAAATCTCGATGTCCTTTAAGCCGTTGCTCCACCTCTGTTATGCAACCATCCCTATTGCTCCACCTCTGTTATGCAACCATCCCTAGCAATTCTACAGTGAGATTATAAATCATTAATTATCTTCTTTTAACATTAGTGTTACCCCAATAAAGATTGAACTAAAAGTAAAACCAAACATTTTTCTTCTCATATTTTGTAAAAACTATATTTACACATACCTTCGAACTTTAAAATTATTCATGACAGCAACAAATTCATCATATTTTTATTATCATTATGAAATTTAGCCCTCACAGCCCTAAGATATGCATACGCATCATCTATATTTGCCTTCGGTTTACTTCCTTCTCCAACATGTTTACTTCCTCCTCCCACCATGGTTCAAAGTTGGTCAAATTGAAGCTTTATTTTTCAAACAAAGAGAGTTTTTTAAGTTATTTGTTTTCCATTAAAGTAATTAATTATTTAGATGTAATTTATATCATCTCTCAAATACATGACCTCTTTCTTTCAAAGTAACTTAAACTTTTGGTGTAGGGGGGAGGGGGGAACCCAGACTTTTGCATTAGGGGATCTTAACTCACAATTACTATAATTGAAAAAGTACATGCAATGAATTATGCACTATGCATATTGCAAAGCATGAGAACATGATAATACTAAACTTTAGATTGATAAAAAAAAAAAAAAACGATCAAATAAGAATTGTGAAAAGAGTTCAAAGTAACAAACCAGAAAATTTACTAGGGGTACAAGCTTCAGCACTAGAACTTGAATGATTTTAAGTTGTATGGTGTCTTTATATATATTAAAAAAACTTTGACAAAATTAGACCTTTTGCAATTAACATATTTGTAGCAATGAGATACAATTATATATATCCTAGTATTAAATGAAATAAACACATATTAGTTGCAAATAAAATTTCACATTAATTATCATTTACAGATTTATATGTAAATTTAATTATACAGATTTTTATGTAAATTTAGTAATAAACAATTTAAATTGTAAAACTTTTCAAGCATCCGTGAAAGCTTATTTATTACTTTAACTTTTCCGAGAATTTAAATCACTTGTTATAATGTGGCATATATAATTGCAATTTTTTTATTAAAAAAAAAACACTTTAAGGTATATGGTTAATATAATTGCAAGTCAAAAGTATTAATGTCATAGATCTTAAAATAACAGATATATATATATCTAGTAAATTTTACTTTCTTAGTTTTTTGTCAAATTTTACTTTCTTCTTTTTCGTCAACAAATAGTCGTAAATTTACTTTATAATATTATTCAAAATAAAGAAAATACACTATCATTTGGTATAACTGTTAAAGTTTTAGTTATTAAGATGTAAATATTGTCAAGATTTAGTTCTTAGGATTTGTCGAGATTTAGATTTTACACCTAAAACATCAAATATAAAGAAGAATGGAGGGAGTAGTAGAATTGTAATCAGAATTTTTTATATTTATTATTTTGAAGACTTCTATCAAATAATTTTAGTTTATTGATATTCTTTTGCAATAAGCCTACATCAGATTTTAAATTGAATCGAATATATGTCCTATAATTTTGTCCCATTTTTTTTATTCTGAACAAAATGTCAAAGTTAACTTAAAAGACTAATTTGGGACTTAAAATAGAAAAATACTAATGTCTTGGCAAAATGGCATGGTTACAGCTTGGTTTCTACGTTCATTGCTTATGTAGCTTTTAGTATTACTGTTGTAATACTTCGATTTTTAATCACTGAATCTAATTGACACGATCTTCTTGGTAAAAAGGAATGATAAAATTAAAAAACATATGTGCATGACAAAAGAATCTAACTGAACTTAAACGTCTATTTAAAGAAACTTCATATACATTCTCATCTCCTAATAAAAGAGTTAGAGATCTTGATGCTTGAAAAGATCATTTTCTCATGTTAAAGTATCTGAAGAACTTGTCAATCAAATCTTCATGATAATAGAGAAGATCAATGACCTGCAAGGTATATTATAACCAAATCAAACCAAGAAAAAAAACAAGTGAAAGGACAACGCAAAATAGCCCACAAAGAACCTACCTCCTCTTTCACCTCCTTTTCAGACATCTTTCCTTCATTATCATTATCTTGAGAAATGACTCAACTACATGAGTATGAAGGCTCCGAAACCTTGTCTGCAATTACTTACATCACAAGTTAGCATATAGGAAACACTCAGTATCTATAAGCATTTAAGCATTCTATACCTTAAGCTTCGTGATAAAACTCCTTGTAGCTGAAAGGAAGACACAGAAACAAAGAAGAAGATTCAAGTGATCTTTCATGAGTTCCTCCACCCTAGCAATGACAATAGCAGCATCGATTCTACAAAGAGACTTAATAACATCAGAATCAATTCACATAGACAGAGAAAATCAAATATAACATGGAGAAAATTAAATAACTCATACATACCTGCGAGCTTTAAGATCATTCGAGAGCTTAAGAATTTCCTCATACTTTGAAGTGAAATGCTTTCTTGACAGCAATGAGATATGAAGTCGCATCTTCCATGGCAGGCTTCGGTGGTACGCTTCTTCCAACCACCTTATGAAACTCTGTACTAGCCTCGAGAGGGATGGTTATTTGAAACTCAAGTGGAAGGAAGACATTGAAACCAAGAAGCAGATTCACGTGATCTTTCAAGAGTTCCTGTATGCTTGCACTGAAAGCAGCTATACCGATTCTACAAAGAGAAAAATAACATCAGAATCAATTCTCACATGTGTCTTTGTTCTTTAGACTAGCTGTTTAAGAGCAAACCAAACATACCTATCAGCTCCAAAATCAAGAAAGGTTCTTAGAAACTCTTCATATTTTTCAGGTTCAGCATCCTCCAATGCGTCCCTCACAGCTTCGATGTATGACATCGCATCTTCCATACATAAATCCGGGACACTTTGTCTTTGTGTGTGTGTTGCAATTTCTTAGTTCTTTGGTTTGATTTGCTTTGTTATCTTTGCTTGCAGGTGATTGCACTTCTTCAGGGTCATGAAGATTTAGTCATGGAGTTTGAAGACGTTTTAAAAAAACCTACTGATCCATCAGGGTCAAAATCTGCTAGAGATAGATGAGTAGATTAGAAGACTGTCTCTGCTTTAGTTGAAGATGCTTTGAATATAATGTTTGGGGTATATTCAAAGAGACAAAAAGAGTTGTTCTTTCTAACGACAAGTGAGTGTAGTTCTCTTTCGTAGACATTTGAGACTAGTTTGATTCTTACACTATAGAGAAGAACATGACATCATGATATGCACATATGCTTCTATATTTGAGGTGTACAATGATTGGGCATAAGAGACTAAAGAGAGTGTATAGTTTCTCCTGACATGGTCATCTTAGTTCAAAGTACAAACAAAAACAGAGAGGAACAATACAGAGCCTTTGCTCAAAGCCTCAAACCTATAAAGTGGCCAAAAAGTACAGAGCAAAACCAAACAAAAATCAACTAATGACAACAAATTTTATATAATTAGTAGTCAATCGGATAATTCTAGTAAATCTTATGTGATTTTGTTTAATGAAATTCATATATGATTTTATGAAACACGTTTTTACTTAATCACATATATACTCAAAATATTTTATATATCTAATTTAAATATGTTGTGTAAAATAGCGACTAAATTTTATGTTATATTTGGACTTCTTTTTATTAATTACATCCCTAATTAAATATGTGCATGGCTTTTCTCAATTCGTATGTAATTTGGAGTAAAAATTAAAATCAATCGGATAATTCTAGTAAATCTTATGTGATTTTGTTTAATGAAATTCATATATGATTTTATGAAACACGTTTTTACTTAATCACATATATACTCAAAATATTTTATATATCTAATTTAAATATGTTGTGTAAAATAGCGACTAAATTTTATGTTATATTTGGACTTCTTTTTATTAATTACATCCCTAATTAAATATGTGCATGGCTTTTCTCAATTCGTATGTAATTTGGAGTAAAAATTAAAATAAATTATACTATAATGTGTCCATTAATTTTCTCATTTGCTCTTGATTTTAGTATTGTAGAAAGCTTTAAAAAACTCGTTTTACCATTAAAAAAAAAAAAAAAAAAGCTTTAAAACCTCAAATCATCAGTCTCTCTCTGTGGGTTTGCTTCTGGGAACCTTGAAGTAGCTTCTTGGGAAGAAGAACCTTCTTGCTCGTTTGCCAAATTCGGTAATTATACTTGGTTCCTCTTTCGATTTTCGTTCAATTGAAATTTGTATTCAGGAGTCAGGACAATTAGGGTTTACGCAGGGCCGGCCCGCAGGACAGGCCACCTAAGCGGTGGCTTGGGGCAC